ATTTAATATATTATAATTATTCATACTATAATAATTTTGAAAATTTTTATCTTGCATGCATTATACTAGTTGTAATATTCAATTTCTATTAGATTTGTATAATAGTTGAGTAAAAATATTATTTTCCCTTTAATGCAATTTTATATTTTTAATATATTACTATTTATTATGTTTTAATGACTCAATTGTATAGTTTGATATTTTTATTATAATTTCATGATGTTATAATTTGAAATTAAAAAATTAATTATGATTTAGGTTGAAATTCGCTTGGTAAATCAAGCTCTACCCACGGGCTAAACTACAACCCATAGATTCGACCCAACAGGCTAAGCCTAGTTAGTCATTCAATCCGACCCAACATGGACAATCATGTGTAGTGTAGATGATTAATTCATGAGCTATGAGCCGACATAGCTTGGTATAATATATGCATAGTCATATACAGTACATCGACTAGCTTGACCTATCATATTACTATACAATCTAACTTATTATATTTACTTTATTTCATTTTTGTTCGATTGAGCGAAATCTAATTTGATAAATTTAAATTGATTGAACTGAGTTAATTTATTTAAATCTATTTAACATAAATTAAACTTAATATAATCTAAAATATATTAAGTCTACGATAGTTTTAGATCAATTAAATAAGAATTAGAGATCGGTTCAACTAGGTTATAATTAAATCTAATTCAATTAGATCGATTGAACTATGGTTCAAGTTAATTAAAGACTAATTGATATTAATTTATATTAATAATATTTAAAAGATAAATTAAAAAATATTTTAATATATTATTTTATCTCGATATGAAAATGATCATATATGATGATTTTGTTGCCTTAGTGAGGGCATGTAGAGTGATTTTTTTTAAGAATTAGTGGGATGTGAGATATGATGGTTCCTCCATCCACTTAATCCATTGTTAGTGCGATATGGGTTCATGGACATCCAAAGAATATAAAATCATATAATAGAATATGTTGAATCTCGGATTTTGTTGATAAAACTAATTGATAAGTGTTTATGAATTAATCTGTTTTTTGAGTGACGCATAGTGCTTCAATCAGGATGAGACAATTAAAGCAAGAAGAATCATGTTGGGCCGGAGAAAAACATGTCAAAAGATTGGATATCGAGCCGGAGGATCGGTCAACATATTGACAAAAGGGTTCGGGCCATGGATTCGGGCATCGAGCCAAGAAGATTGGATATTGCGCCAAGGATATTGGAGTTACGGAGTCAACTGGCCAATTGGGCAATAGGCCACAAGAGAGGACGATGCGTCGAAGAATCAAACGAAGTGTCGAGGGACCAATGACATGTCGGACAATATGATTCATACTTAGTATTAATTGTCTAGATCGAAGTATGTTTTTACATGTGCAGAATTAACTACGATAGCAAGGCATAAAGCAAAGTGAAGTCCCGGAGTCAAGAATACGATTTCGTTGGGAGTTCGAGAGTTAGTTGGAAATTCAGACGTTTGTCGGAAGTTCTGCCGAGAAGTTCAAGAGCTTACTAAAGAAGATCGTCGGAACTCGCCAAGAAGATCGACGTGAAGTCCAGGAGCTTGTTGGGAGTCCACCGGAACATTACCAAGATATCGTCGGAAGTTCACCAGAAGATCGCTAGAAGCTCGTCGGAAGAAACCAAGACATAGGGACTTGTTTAGCTTAGTAAATATCTTAAATTTTGTAGTTAGTACGTAATTGAGATTAGAATTGGGCCAACTCAATTATGGGCCAATTGGGCCCATGTAAGGACTATGTTGGGCCCAATGAAAGGCCTAAACAATGTCCCAAGAAGTGGCATCGTCGTGGCACAGTCTCCGAGACTATGTCAGGCGGTGGTACGACCTAGTGGCAGGGTGCTAGGCGGTGATACCGCCCCTGTCAGGCGGTGGTACCGCCCAGTGCATTGTTAGTGTCAAACTGACACAGGCTGTGGTACTACCGCGGTGATACTATCCGTACCCAGAAAACCTGGGATGAGATATTTTTAGGCTCCAAGTTTGAATCAACTTGAGGCCTATAAATACCCCTCTCATCCCTGGTTAATACATACAAGTATTGAGAGTAAAAAAAGGAAAGAAACGCTGATGCAATCTTGTATGAACTCCTCTCAAAGTTCTAAGTGTTAGAATAGTTTGAGAGAGGAGTAAGTGGAGATGTAAGGGTTATCTCCTAAACCCGGTAAAAGAATAATCGAGTTGTAAGAATGAGGTTGATCTTTGCCTATTAAAGGAATATTGATAGTAGATGCCGGTGGCCTCAACGGAAGAGGAATCGACGGAGTGAATGTAGGTCACAACGATCGAACCACTATAAAACTCGGTTTGCATTTCTATTTGTGTAATTTACCTTCAGCAAACTACTTACTTGCTTTACTTTCATTATACTTATAAATACGATTTTAAAGTTAACATATCTCCGAAACGATTTTTTTTAAATCGATTTTAATCGAACGAATATTTTTTTGAAATCGACGTAATCTTTTCGCTATACTAATTCACCCCCCCTCTTAGTACCGACCCTTTCCTAACAGAATGAAGCCTTTCCATTTACTATTAGGAGAGTACTCATTTCGAAATTTAATATATGTCAATTGGGTGATTAACTTTTTGATATGTATTTATGTTATAAGGTATTACAACTTAATATTGTTATTTATTTTATTTTATTTTTCAAAGCAATCTTAGACTATATTTTAATAAACAAACAGACCATTCTTGAAGTTGAATGTTTATTTTTGAGTTTACATTATTATGTTTATGAATAAAATCTATGATTATTTTTAACTTTTATTTTGATGTATAAATAAATTATTATTATTATTATTATTATTATTATATATATATATATGCAAGTTTTGTTGAATTATTTTGTTTGCTTCGACACCACTTTTGAACCTTTTTTTTTTTTCTCGTAATGCTTCAGCTCAGCTCAACTTCAAGAACTTAACAGCTTATCCTGGATTTTGTCTTCCCTGTTCGATTATATAGTGAACAAATTGCAACTATCAATAATCAAAATATCTTGTAATTGTTAGGTGATCTTGGTTAACTGTAGATCATTTATTAGTTTAACAATCATGCAGATCATCCAATAAAGTCATGATTTTTGTAATCATAGTTTTTTTCTTAACATAAATTAATTATTATAAATCATGTATTATTATAATTAATTAATTAATTTAATATACTTTAAACTAATTAAAAATTATTTTTTAATTACGTGAATAAATGAAATTTTTTTATCAATTTATTAAATTATTAATTAATTTATTTCCTAATGAGTGATATAATTCTTAGAAAGCAAATATTTAAATTTTATGATTTGTGTGCGAACAATATAGAATAAATATTTCAATCTATTTTTTTTATATGAAAGTAAAATAAAAACATTATTTATCTTTTGAGAAGAGTTCATCTTCTCCTCAAAAGAATTTTTTTGATGACAGGGTTGCAAGGACGAGCAAGATTCTCTATTTTTTCATTACCGATTTTTATTTATATTTTAAAATATTTAATAGTAGAATTTTTTTAATTAATATGATGCAAAATAATCTTCTAATTTTAAAATATTATGATTAATAAATAATTATTATTGAATTATGATGTTAAAATAATTAGTTAATTTAATAATAATTCTAATTTATTTAAATTAGACTTATTTATGTCTAAAAAATTATGTATGAATTTGTATAATTTAATTACTTTTAAATTTAAAATTATGAATCTAAATTAGTTAATTCATGAAATAAAATGGATTTAAGGTTAATTATTATTATTTTAACATATTTTTAAAATTTTAAAATATAATTTAATAATATGAGTTAAATTGAGGATTCAATGTAAGTTGACTGGTCAAACCAACCTATGTAGTTAAGTCCAACCTAACTCATGTTATTAAGTATGACCTAGTCTATGTGGTTAAGTATAATCAACTCATATGATTAAATATAACTGGTCAGATACCATACAACACATTCAGTTAAGGAAAACTCAATCGTCGTTTTTCTATTAACTAATTTGATATAAACATTATCTTAATCGATTGATGATAAAATAAAATAAAAGAAGACCTCGAATAGACTTTAAAAAATGACAAGAGATTTTCAGGATGAAAGGAGGAGCCAAGCGTTACTAGGATAAAGGAGAGCATCCACAAGAGCATCATAATTCCAACAACAATTATTCGATATGCACAAGGAATAAAAATTACTGTAATAAATTATTTATATAAAAAATATGGATAAAATGATCTATAAAATATTTATATGGTTTTGTATCTTTATAAATATATAAAATTAATCATTTATTTGATCCAAAAATAATTTATTGTTGCACCAGATTTGAAAAAAAATATGATCCTTCAAAACTTGATTTCTTTTGTTTAAATTAATATGCCTTGAATAGTATTTATGACTCGTAAAAATTCAAAAAAAAAAAAAAAAGCACGATTGAAGTTGATGATGGATTATATGATATTTAATTAAAATTGACTGTACATCAATATACTATATCTGTAAAATAACACTTGTTAATTATAGCAGGCCACATTTCATTCCAACTTCGTGATAATGTCAAAGCACCAGATTTCTGTACATATATTGCTGATGACCAATATCAACAGATGTAAGTGAACCTAGTTCTTGTATATGTTTATGATACTTGCAGGCATTCCATAAGAGCTGCCCCGGTTCTTAGTTTGCACAGCTTGTTCTCCAGAAGAGAAAAGACTAGTTATTGACTGGAACAGTTGGAGCTTCTTTAATGTTAATGGCGAACATGTTACAATGACCAAAATTTGCCCATATATGTTAGTTATTGTTTAATTGACACAGTAGCCAGAGGCAGAAGGAACTATATTAGATGACTTTGGAACAGGATCAAGATGGGTTTACTATTTACTCAAAAGTTGTTAACTGGACATCAAGAACTCGACAAGTAATGTAGCTCAAGCAAAAGCAAGGATCATCAACTTATCTAATGGACGTATAAACATGGCAACAATTATAAACTTATTATGACATTAATGTTGGACGTAAAATGTATACTTCCATTATAATCTTTAGTCCAAAATCTAAAGTATTGTAGTAATAAACAAGAAAGAGAAAGAAAGATATGAACCACCCTTTATTGTGTTCCTTTAGGCGATGGAGGGAATATAAGCAGCAGCACTCTCTAAAACCATGTAATCTGGATTGCTGCAACATGTATGAACTAATCTCTGATTAGAAGAATATCGCCAGAATGCCCACCAGCTTGACATAACTAAATTGAAAATGATAGGAATGCCTGTTTTCAGAAACATAAAACAACAAAATCATTCCAATGATAAATCAAATCAAAACATTCTGAACTGGCATTGTAAGATAAATGATGATTAGCCTTGGTTTGCTCTATTAAATATGAACCATACATTGTTTCTCTTAACATAATAAGTCTCCATTTTTTCAGGATGCAACTTTAAATAATATGTGAAAGGAGAAAGCAGCAACCAATCGAGTAATTTCTGGACTATGCCATTTCTATCGACATAGATTACAACAAATAGCAGCAAAGACGTACCTCAATAACAGAGACTAACTGAGACTCATCATGCTGAGGACACTTCTTGGACTTGGAACTTTTCAAGTGACTTTCTATTGAGTTCAGCTTCTCATAAATGTCCCTCAACAACTTCAACTGTTCACTATTCCTTTCAGAATCTTCCATTTTCATGATCTTTTCATTTTCAATCTGCTGAAGCTGGCATTTTATATGTTCAAAATCATTCCTCATGATACAGGTTCTATTTACAGAATCCACAAGAACCGAATTATAATTCATCATTTCTCCTTTCCTGGGTGTCAACATCTTATTGGATTCGCATGTTGGTGAAGAAATTTGGCTACCATGGTGTGAACATGTGAATTCCCTGTCTAACCAGTAATTATCTCTGTAAAGAAATTCTACTGTTTCTTGTGGCATGAAGTCTTCACAGACACCATAAGTCATAGTTTCTTTTATAGACTCTTCCAAGAAATGCTCCACAGGCTCACTACTAACATGATATTTATCACTTTCTGGAACTTCAAATATGTCATGGACACACGCCAAATTTTTCCCTGATTCAGTTTGATTATATGAAACGCTAAGCTCAGCAGACTCTGTGGTATTCACTTGTTCTTCAGCTTGAAAAGGTGAATTTACAACACATTCAGCATCCAGATGGATCTTAGTCCCAGGTTTTGAATGACAAGAAGCATCGCCGGTCACAGCTGAATACCATGAACAAGACGAAGAATCTTCTCCCGAACTGCGTGAGCTGTCACTAGTTGTTTGTTGCCCCATTCTTCCTGGACTTGAATCATGGTTTCCTCTTCTATTTGCTTCTTCAGAATTATGATCATCAGTTGCCGATTCCTGAAACAAATGTGAAAATTTCTTATTCTTGTCACTGAGATGGTCTGTACAGTCACCAAAAATTTTCCAGGTTGAATGCCATGAAGGCAGTAAGGGATTATTATCAATTCTATCGATCTCACTATACAATCTACCCAACTTTAACGAAGGCAAAGAGAAGTTCCTTCTCATACGGCCATGAAGGTTAGTCTTCTCCAGAAAAGCACCATCTCCGCATGACATATCTGCACATGTTACAACATCTCCAAGTTCAAAATCGCTGATGCCAATACTCAATAACCTGCTCTTATACAACTGAAGTTGGTGCTTAAGGATTGAATTCTCAATTCCCTTCCGTTGCATTTCTTCCTCAAGAATAATCAAGCATTGTTCTGCATAATGCAATTTTTCCTCTGCCATTCTCTTGTATTGGCGTGCTTCCATCTTCTCCACTGCCTTTTCTCTCTGAAGCTTCAGAATCATGGATAAAGCTTCACTTGCTGCAGTTGCAGAAGCTTCTCTTTCCTCGTCTAGCTCCATATGAAGTTTTCTTATAATGATATATTGATGAAGAGCTTCTTTTGTAACTGCAATCTCCCTTTCAGCCATATAAATTTGATTAACAAGCTATAATTTGTTGTTGAAGTTTGTTAGTTCCTTCAAACCTGTACTGGACCTGCATCATGAGTAATTTCTTAATTGTGCTAAGCATAAAAATGCCTTTATCATAGAAAGTAAGAACAGCTAATAGCAGCTTTTCAGTAATCCACAGTTTCGAGAACTATGAGCATGTTCAAAAGAATTACACTTTGAAATCATTGTCAAAATTCCAAAAAGTTGCATTTTCAATCATTGGAAAATAATCCTCGATATCATCCATATGATGACAATGACAACAAACAAGCTGTAAGTCCCTACTTTTATGGGGCCTTTCCTACCAATTTAGTAGTTGATTCCTCTACATAGATCATCTCCGTTCACTGAGACCCGCTGAGGTTAACATCACTAGTCAAACTACGGGCCATCCAACACTCAAACTACAACCTAAAACTAAAATTATGAAATAAGCACCTATGTTATCTCAATGATATTGCTGAAACAAGTCAGGGTATCCTAACAATAGCTGGAGTGAATAACCAACAGTTCTTTCAGGGTAAACTTTCATAATTCCATTACTAGTACTAGGACTGCCTGTAAGATACTGTTACAAGTACAATGATAGTAGTAAGCTCTCATCGTATTCATTAGTTAGGAAATCCATTAAAGTTGATGTTAAATTTTTTCTTCTATTTCACTAGAACATCAAGTGACATTATGTAATCTACTCAACCTTTTCCAGTTTTGATGCAGGAGCAAATTATGTGGCCTAGCCTAATATCACATGAGCTTTTTCCATAAAAGGAACTAATCAGGTATACATTGTAATATATTGTCTTTGGTAATGGCTATTTATCATCTCATATTGTAATATATTGTCAATGCAAGAGTGCTTTGGGATCAGATATATCCACTAAATTATTTGCAATGGCTTCAGGTTCATTTGGGTCCTCAGAATCCTCAGTAGATGGTTTATAGGATGCCTGCCACAAGCATTCCTTTTCTGATTGTTTATTCACCACATAGAATGCTCCTTATAACCATCCAACAGGTGATCCTTTTCTTCTATAAAGGTCCACCAACTTTCTAACACGGGTGATCCTACATCAGCTATAATACCATGATCACAATCCAATCTGAATCACTTGGTATTAGCCCCAAAACAAAGATTATTATGGTGGTAAACTTTTTGAGTATGCATAACGAAGATATGAACATAATCAATATAGAAGTCATGAGTTATCACAAAAATAATAATCCTATGCCTCGCGACAGCTACTTTTAGATATGACTTGTATGACTATGTTAATGTCTCCGTTGAATCCAATTAAACTCTTATCCAATAAAATGGTATACAATCAATTAAAAAAAAAAACATTTAGCATGTAAAGATTAAGACCTCATTTCAGATCTTGGGAAAACCAAACCATTTGCTCAATGGGTGCTAGAATAGCATTTTTGATACATCAATCACCCAGCACAAGCAGAAGCCAACAACAATCGAAATTAATAGCCAAACTAAAGAAACCTCAGAAATGTAATGCGATTCAGATTGTACATCCCTAGATCAAAATCTTGGAGAGATGATGCTAATATCAAACTATATATACAAACACTGCATCTGGAGCTCGAATGTACCTGATCAGCCTAAAGAGAGTATAAGATCAACCCTGGAAGCTTATGGACCCTTTACTCTTTCTCAGATTCCTGAAAGATCCAAGAACAACAATAGAAGATAAACATCAATAGAACTTCAAGCTTCTATATGATCATGGCATGCAACTATTCTATTCGTGTGGGAACCGACCTCCTTGTTTCTCCGAACACCTGCTTCCTTTTGAGATGGCATGCTTCTGCATCCATCTTTTCAAGGAAGAGATGTTACGGAGAAGAGGAGCAGGCGACGGAGGTTTCACTGGTACCTGCTAAAAGGCGCGCGTGGGAGCGTTAACAGCTTGCAGGGGAATCCCATGTGGGATGCCCTCCTCCTATTCCTCCGTTTGCTACGGAACACCGCTCCCCCTTCCTTCTCTTCCTCACATCGCCTTGGGCTGGAGGAGTTGGGAAGGCCGTTGGAGGAACAGAACGACACTGACACACAACGGCACCCGAGGAGGATTGGCAGCACGCCACCTACACAGCGGGCACAGGTTGTAATGATGAGTCATGCGGCAGAGGGGCATGTCCGATCATGGCGGGTCTCCGAAGTCCGTCTCCCCTCGATAATAACCGGGTGGAGCTCACCAACCTGCCTCGGCCGCGCCAGGGAACACGCACTCCATCCACGTGTCGATGCCCTTCCGCAAGGGGGAAACGTGTTCCCTGTGTGGCCCGCCTTAACTGAAATGACATCTCAGGTGTTATCCTCCATGCCATGCGCACGCACATGTGAGCATCATTGTCTTGCCAAAGGAGGCTGTTGTTACTATTCACAATGGAGTCGCTGCATGGTGTTCGATGCATATATGCATCCATCATGCCTGGTGGTGGGCCCCGACCTAGTTGGCGCACTTTGTCGCGCCAACAATCAAAGGTCCATGTTTGACTCGCCACGTCATGATCAGACTCGGGAAAGTAACTCGTCAAGCCTTCTTCTCGGGTCTACCCATTTCTTTGCCCTTGTATGTCGCAATGACGCAAGCCATCTTCGAATCATCGGGTGCGGCCCAGTTGACGTAGACATTCTCACAGCGTGCCGCTTGCCGTCTCTCGGCCAGTGAGCAAACAGGAGCGACGGTTTTTATTGGTTCCCAGCCATGGGCCCCACAAGGGTTCTTAGAAGGGGACCATTAGCACAAGTGGGATCCGCGACAGCAGACCAATGGCGAATGCGCTATCTCTGTTTGGTCGCTGGACGAACAATCGGCAGCCGGATCCTTCTCCCCTGAAATTTCGACGGAAGCTGCTCCTCGCCTGTCCTCGTACACGCGTCAGCGGGACCAAAGGTGGACCCAGACTCTCCATCCAATCAGCAACGCGGATAATCTGAGTCGGTGGACCGGTGCGAAAAGCGTGGCCCTTTCTTGCAGAAAATTGTTCCGCCATCACGGAAAAATCCAGACGCCACGTGGCCGAATCTCCATGGACGACTCTTTGCCTAATCGTGTGATTAAATTGATCCTGCGGCATATCCGACGATCCATGGAGGACGAGGCGGCCCAGCACCGGCGCTTTTTGCGACGGGGCGGTTACGACTTCGTCCAATGACGACGATGCCCGTTGCGTGTAAAATAAACCCGTTACGCTCACCACCTGTGACCAAAACCGGCTTCAAATTTCATGTCTTTTCTTACATATTCATATCCATGCAATGTATTTCCTTTTCCTAAACATAGTTGCTTTCATACTTTGGGCTTTCAGGATAACATAAGATTACAAATCAAATATTAGTTTACACCTTTAACTATATATAATCATAAATATAATAATAATAATAAACTAATATTTTGTATTTTTTTCCAAAAGGAAAAAGATTTGTCGGAGCAACTGAAAAAAAAAGAAGTTAAATCGGCATTGGAGTTGGGCAGGTGAGCTCACAGGTGGTGACCGGATCTCAAGTCAGGAAGTCACGCAAAGGCCGTTATATGAAAGAGAAGAAACCGCGCTCATTCTTCGACGCCCTTCTTTTTCCTGATCCAAACATTCTCCTGCCATCCTCTCGTCCTCCTCTTTTCCTCGGAGGAATTCCACAAGAAATCAAGAAAAGGAGCACTCCTCCTTTTGTCGTTCTTGTGCTATACTTTTGCGGATAATTATCGTTATATTTCTTTATGCGGTAATCCCCAAAAACCGGGGAATTCACACACGACGGCGTCGTCTCCGGCGGTGAGATTAGGGTTTCGTTCGGTGCTTGTGCTCTTGTTCGTTTTCGACGAGATCTGTTGCACGAATCCTGAGGTCGGATGCTTTGTTCTTATCAGTTTCGGTGGTTTCGATTTCACCAGTTGTAGATTTCATAGGAGCTATTTGGAATTCGCGAGGATTTCGTAGCATTTCAATGCCTTTATTGTCGATTCGATGGGACCAAAACCTAGGATGAAAAAAGATAAACCAGAATGAAAATATTGTGGATTTAAGTTGTTTCTTTTGATTTTTCGTACATTTCTGACCTCATTTTGCACGTGGACATGTTTTTTCCTCAAAACCCTAGAATCTTCATGTTTCCCCTTCTTTTCCTCACGATTCGTGTGCAGGTGAATGTTGGTCCATGTTGTCGCCTATCTCCTTTTAATTTCACTTCTTTTGTGGAGCGAAAGTGGCTTTTTAAGAAATGCATCCTGGCAGAAGACAAACAGCCAAATTTATTGAATTATGGTGTTTTTAACAAAAAAATTGCTATAGCGCACATGATCCTCCATAGCTCAGTGCGACTTCTTTGCTTATCCCATGTCTTCGCCTAATTCTTGTTTTGGGACAATCACCCTCGTTATGGTGTTTGTGACCAGAGTATTGTGGCGTGATCTGCTGTACCTTCCAATGAATTTGGAGTAGGAGCTAATTTTGTGATCCATTGTTTGGTTCTCGTCTCTTCGGATTTTCCTCTGACCATTCTAAATGAATTTTTCACTAGAATGTTTCATTCTCGGTTTTTTTTTTATTTCTTTTGGTTTAGTTTTGCTTAATGTGTAAATTTTGCTAACTAGTCCGGGAGTCTTTTTGTGGCAGATTTGTGGTTATGGGGCTGTTGCTACAAAATAGGTCGATTCTGATGAATTCATCAATGCCGAGGCAGTAAAATGGATATATGTGATTTTAAGCTCCTGGAAGCTACGGCAAGGCAGAATACAGTTCGGACAGAAGAGAATTACAGGCGGTTGTTGCTTCCTTCCGAGAGGAACAATGCTGTCTCTGCCACTCGCAGGCCCCGGAGTGTTGCTTCTCGGTACAAGTCTGGGATGTCATCTACTCCAGTTTCAACCCCAAGTTCACCAAGACGATATCCCTCGCCAAATGCTGGACACACATCCCTTGCAACTGGATTGTCACTACCTAAGAGATCCCAATCTGCTGAGAGGCGAAGACCAACTACCCCTTCATCGAGATTTTCTGCATCCCCATCCCCATCGAGGCCTTCTACACCTGCTTCCCCGTCTTCCAGATCAACAACTCCAGTACGTGATAGGGGGACAGAAATGTGTAGTACCCCACAACGCTTATTCAGCAACAGGGCTCCCAATGGCTTGTGGCCTTCGATCCGGAGCCCGTCTTCTTCATTCCAGTCAGAATCTGTTGTAATTCCTGTTAGTAAAAGAGAAAAGTTGGTTGTGAATTCCTTAGAGAGAGCAAATAAGTCTCCGGGCAATGTGGCGCCTGAGCGTAAGAGGACTCCTCTCAGAGGAAGGAATTCATCTGATCAATCCGAGAATTCTAAACCACTAGAAACCTCGAATGCAAAGGTCATGGATCAACATCGCTGGCCTGGCATGCTGGGTGGGAGGTTGTCCACAAATGCATTGTCAAGAAGTGTGGATCTCTCTGATAAGCTTGGTAGATCTATTTTGACAGTTGCATCACAAGGGGACTCTCCAAAGAGAACAAATCCCTCACCTAACAGTGCAACCAGAGTTACCCAGCTATCACTTAGTGAGATGGCTGAACGGTTATCTAATGTTGGAGATGGAATATTGGAGAGGGATACAAAATCGGTTGTCAATCTTTCCTCACCAACTTCTGTGAGACACTCATCTGTTGTAACACGGTCAAGTAAGACTCAGTCATTACTTATTCCAGGTTCCCGTCGCCCTTCATCACCAAGTAAGGTTTTGTCAACACCATCATCTACTGCAAGGGGTATGTTGAGTCCTGTGAGATCAAGACCATCTACTCCGATCTTGCTGTCAAGCAATCTTCCTAGTAGAGTGGGTGGGACACCATCTGTCCTTAACTACAGTGTTGATTTGCGAAAAGGAAAGAAGAATTCCAATCATGTAGAAGAGGCTCATCAGCTGAGACTGCTTTATAATGCAAATTTACAGTGGCGCTTTGTCAATGCCCAAGCAGTTAAGACACTATCAAATCAGAAAATGAGTGCAGAGGTAGTTACTATCAGAAGACTGTATAAAAACATTACATTAATTGATAGATAAGTCTGGTAGATTTTCTAAATTTGTCACTTCAATGTTTCATTGTCTTCTGATAGTAACTTTGTCACATCCAGCGAAGAGGGATTTGTTAGGGATGAAATACAAAGTGCTGCATGATAGAATATATTAATCTCATTTCTGACATGACTTTTTCATGCTATTTGCTTTAATATAATACTAAAGCTATTTTTTAATGAAAAATTGATATTTTTCTGTGCACTAGATCATTCTTACAATGTGAGATTATTCCTTTAGCATCCTTTTTTTCTTTGTGCCACAAATTTTCAAGCATGTCCATAGTTTGGTAATCAGAATGCACTGTCATTAACATTTGTTGTGAGGATGATGTAAGAAAAAAATGCACTCAGCATGCTTTCTTAATAATTTTACATATCATAGTGTTTTGGTGATAAGGATAGACCCATCCTGTTGTTGGAGATGTTAATTGAAATTTGATGAATTGAAACTTTTGTTTGTTTTGAGCATAAAGTTTTCCTTGGTTTTTCTATGTTGTCATTACATGCCTGCACTATAGTGTCCTATAATACCATAGTCAAAATCTGGCATGGTAGAGTAGTATTCTAGTGGCTAACATGATTTTTTTACTTTCAATTATTTCAAACAGAATCTTGTTTACGGTGTGTGGAATAATATTTCGAAGTTTCTTGATCCTGTCATCATGAATAGGATTGATCTGCAGCACTTAGAGCTAGAGATGAAGCTGGGCATGATTTTGAAAGAACAGGTGAGACATGGTTCATTCAGGTAGCATTTTATTATACAGATATTTAAGCATTCCTCACTTTTGCTTGCTTTCGCTGTATACCTCAACTATGATTATTATTCTTCTTTAGAGGTTTTAAAGATCTATAAGACAATATTCATAGATTAAGAGCAATCTGAGTAGTAGCATAGTAGGGTCACTTTTCATCAAAAAAATATAGAGGGACTTGTTGAAACACCTCCATCATTTGGTTTCTGCTTTCCCTGATTCTATTAATGGTTTGTGGAGGATTCTATTCTTTGTATGATCACCTGGATTTTAGAAAACAAAAGAGAAATTTGACAAGTATCTAAAGTTCGAAAAAAGAATACTCTCATCAATCACAAGCATTGATTTTCTCCTGATCCATGCATTTAATTTGTAAGATACGTTGCTACTATTATGAAACTTAAATGATACACACAGTGAGGAATTGGTTAAGCACAATATAGTACATGACCCTTTCCACTGTCAAGGTACTCATCGTGTACTGTGTTGTGTGCAGAAGCAATTGTCTTATTATAACTGCAGCCTTTTCTTCTGACTCAATCTTAGAAGAGAAAACGTGTTGAATTCCTACCTGGTTCTGATTAACCTCCATCTTACCCTCAAATTTATAGGTGTATTTTTCTTATTCCAATAGTTTGTTAAGCATGGTCAGTTAAGCAAGTTACATGATCTGTTAAGCACCCTAATCATGACTGCCTCATTGAATGTGATGCATGATCATTTCATCTTGATTAAATTCTTGAAAATTACTCAACTAGTTTTTTAAAGTAAAGATAATTCATGCTGTCATATTTCAGTGGGTTACTTCTAAGCCATATTTGATGGTAATTTATGCTCCAAATTGGTCAAATAAGGTGTCATTGGAAAGCTCTATGAATCTAGTTTTGAATGGATCAGATTTTGTGCAATTTAAGATCTTTTAGAGAAAGTTATGGTCAAGATATTATATGGTGTCTCTATTGAGACATCCAAGTTGGTTAGTGCATTGTTACACGATAATAGGTCTCAGATTCAGGTCCACGTGTGAGCATCATATACACTATTTGATGTAATAATTTTTTAATTTTTTTAAATATATTATATGTTAACCAGATCTACTTAGAAATAATATTTTTGGATCTTCCTAAATGTCTTTAATTTACACTATATCTACATGAATATGTATTAAATTTTGGCTTGCTCTGTATATACCCCTCAAGCCATGCTTGAGGAGCAGAGTGCTTATAAATGAAATTTATCCTTCGGTTTCTAAGAGGGAATCTTCTTCTTTCTAAGTCCATAAATTTTTGGTGGATTCCATCGAGTGATTAGTCAATAGCCTTGTATCTAAAGGAGGATCCTTCGGGTGGTGAGTTTTTTCTTTCTTATTTCATTTATGTTAGCTTCTCTTTCGCCAATTCTGGAATTAGAGTGGTCAGACTGACTTTTTTTCTTTGAAACTCTTGAGAGACATACACTTGATGTGAATTTTTACAAGCTAGTTCCAGAAATGTTTTTTAGCTAATTGCCAATTATTCATGTACTTTTTGAATTTATGGTCAGTTATCAAATATATATTCAATAGACTAAAAGATAATATAAATTCCCCTTTTCCAACAGGCTAAATGCCATTTATCAGTATCAATCTGTTTAATAGTGTTCTATCTTGGAATTGTTTCTTTCCTTCTAATTACTAAACTACCACTAGTTAATGGCTCAGTTGAGATATAGCATATATTAATGGTCATCGATTTAATGACTTTGACTTGCTTATTTTGACTGAACACGAACTCTCTCCATGAATTTATCTTTTTGGACGTAGTTTAACACTACTCAAGGACTTGCTCTTTTTCTTGATTTAATAGGATATTTTATATATGCATTAATAATTTCTGGCTCTGCTATACAAGTGATTTGATTATGCAGGCGACATAATAAAAAAACAATTTGCTCCCCCTGGTATTATTTGCTATTAAGTGTTTAAGAGTTTTACTGTGCAAAACCAATTCAGAACTGGTGTATGCTTCCAGTCAAGTGCATAGGGGGTTGATTTTTTGTTTTTTTGTTTAGAAAGTTCAATGTAAAGCATCTAGGTTGGTTCAAAACATTTAGAAAGTTATTGCATTTAGAAAGTCACCCTGATACTAGATCATTTTGCTGACTAATACTGACTAGTACAAGACTGTTGCCTATGTGAAACCATCTTGACTCTAAAGCTCAGTCTCAGACAGAGTAGTAGTCATCATGTGATATTATTGTTATATGTTCAAGCTTTCTTGCCTAGGAACCACTTAATTTAAGCTCGTAACCAGTTTTCAAGGTTGTCACCAATATATGTACAATGAGCTCTCTTCATAGTGACTTATGTTTCTAGTGCATCTTTCTATTGTTAACATATTTGGCAGGTTTACCATTTTTCTTAAACATTTATATTGACTTGTTAAGACAACTCAATAATGTTTATTTTCTTGGACAACTTTGTAGATGGCTTACCTTGAACATTGGGTGGCATTAGAAAGTGAACATTATAGCTCTTTGTCTGGGTTAGTGGAAGCTCTAAATGCAAGTACCATACGACTTCCTATTAAAGAAGGGGCAAAGGTGGTTTCTACTAATAACTTGATTTTGTTTGATTATTGTATATTCGCCTATAAAAGAAATTCAGGTTCAAATTTTTTAGTCAAATCAATATTTTAGTAATAGTTTGTCTTTGCATTCCAGGTGGATGTACTTGCCGTGAAAAATGCTATTGGTTCAGCAGTTGATATTATGCAAGCGATGAGCTCTTCCATTTGTCATTTACTCTCTAAGGTGAGATTTATAACCAATTTAAGATCAAATGTAACTGATTAATCCTGTATGGTCTTTTGCTGAGTTTTAATGTAATATTTTTTATGAAACCATATAGCCTTATAAAGGATTTTAGAAAAATTTATTCTAGGCAAAGTAATTAACAAAAAGCCATCAATTAGTTGGCATAGAAATTCTAAGAGTTGTGTTGAAAATTGAACTTTTTAGGGACTCTTTTTGTATTAAGTGCACTTGTGTGCCATTTAGATTTCTTAAAATCATGTTTTGGATTTCAAAAGATATACTAATTTCCTAGGAGATTACTCTTGGGAATCAGTATCTTCATTAATTGTACCTAGGTTTCTAAACCTCTATAAATAGTGGAGCTGATCAATGGATCAAACACTTCAGATTTGAATTAAAAAGAATTACATCTTCTATCTTTTAGTCTTTTCTCTCCTCTCTAATCTCTAATCTGACTCCTCTCTCTCTCTCTCTCTCTCTCTCTCTCTAAGCTCTAATCTCATTCCTCTCTCTCTCCTCTTTAATCTCTAATCTCACTCCTCCTTTTACTCTCTCTATTTCGCTACCTTGTTCTACATCAATTTTATCATCGAACATTTTTGCACTAATGGCTTCTTCTTATATGCTAATGATGCACCAACAACATCTGAAAGGGTGTCTGGGTGTTCTCAGGTTGATGTTGATTTATAATGGATCGTGGATCTGTATGCAACATGAGCATATGCATATATTTTCAGTGTAACCCTTGATTTGATTAGACATCCATTTTTCCTGTTGGCTAACCTAGTGGTTATTTTATCATCTACAACTTCATCCAGATATTGGAACTTAATGTCAAATAGCAAGTACCTAATGCACTTCCTTTTAATTCACAAACTGAGCTCTAATTTTTGAATAAGAACAGTTCAGTAATGCCTAATGTTACTTTTTTGCTGAAGTGTTCTAACATAAAATTTCAGTTGCTCTTTAGAAATAATAGCTTAAGATTTATAAGCATTCTTGTTCTATAAAGATTACACGTATGTTTTGTGAAAGGGAAGTGAAATTCCATGAAGGGACTAATAGCTGCCTTTTCAATTTTATGATCTCAGATTGTATGTTAACTATTTCTAGATTGATAATTATTCTGTGGTGAAAAAATGCACTATTGATTTGGTTTTTTAATGATTATCAGGTTGAGGGTACAAAGTCTTTGGTCTCTGAGCTTTCATGTATTGCAGCAAATGAAAAATACATGCTTGATGAGTGCAGAGAATTATTAGATGTAGCAGCATCAATGCAGGTTAGTGATGATGAATGATGCATAATGATACCATTTTATGTAGACTTTCCTATTAAACTTCGTTATATTTCCTTGAAGTAATTAACATTCGCAGTTTTGTGGAGTGAAGGCTTTTTTTCATTTTTACTTCTTTAATGAACTTATGAGACTTTGATCAACTGTGGTTTACATGCATCTGGGTCAACCTATTTATGTGACCCTATCATGCTACTACTTGCCTAGTCTTCGTTTGCTGTCTTTTAAGAATCATATCTTCAAACCTAACTACACAATGTACCAAAAGAGCAAATTTCAACTTAACAGTTTTCCATGAAACAGGTAAAGGAGTCCAGCCTTAGAACACACATCATTCAAATTGGACAAGATGCTCGTGAGCTAGTTTAGCCAAGCGACAATTCAGTAGCCATTGGACGATAAGAGCTCATGGAGGCATAACAACTTCGGACTGGAAGAGAGAACACTCGTTTAGCTTGGTTAGTCTTTTTGGGAGATTCACACTTACACCATTTTCTTTTTCCTTTCCTTTATTATTATTATTATTGTTATTATTATTATTATTATTATTATTATTATTATTATTATTATTATTATTATTTCTCCTAAAGGGCTATTTTTTTTTCAATGTATTTATTTTTCTACTCACACAAGCAAAAAAGAATGCAATCCATAGCATAGGGGGTTCATGCGAAACCGATTTGATTTGTCCACATGTAAATACTAACAGACTGTAAAGTTTATGATAATAGTAAAGATGCAGGATGGCAACGAATAGAATGTGCAATCCTATCTCAGATTTGCTCGCTAATAATTAATTGGCAGGATATGTTTCTGATGACTTGGTTTTTTATCACTTACATGGAGACTATTGCATATGAAGGTAATGATACTTATGAGCAACGTATGTTTGATACGATTTATAAATGCTCCAAATATTGCTCTATTTTGGTTTCAAAGATTAAAAGTTGTGTTGCACATTAAGACTTCAAAGTTGGTATCTTTGATTAACGCTTGTTGGCGAACATCTTGGCTTCTTTTTCAATCCAAAGTATTGCTTTTTTTTAGGATATTAATGACACTTCGAGGGGGTGTAATAATATTTTTAATTGATTTTACAATTCAATTAATAAATTAATATGTCTTGAAAATTTGATTGATCAAGCTAGTTACAAGTAAAAAAGAATAAAATGAGATACATTAATTTAAAATGAGTTGTCTTCTTTACTTGCGCAATCTCGATTCCTCTTTACTAATTATTTTTATTATATATTTTTTAGTTTAGAAGATAATCTTTAAATTCTTTTTTTAACAAAAAATCTTTTACCTCTTGGTGGTATTACCATTGGCACTAATAATATTATTGTCATAACTATGCTATAAATTTGGATTTTAATAGTACTATCACAAACTTAAACGATAATAATATAATTGTCATAACTATGCTATAAATTTGGATTTTAATAGTACTATCACTAACTTAAACGATACTACAAATTAAAATTGATCTATAAGACGTTGAATACTATTCTGATATCCCGTTCTTTCATTTGGTATATCATCCATTTCATTGACATATAAATTTTCTACAATATCCAATCTTTCGATGTTCTTCAACTCGACATATAATTTTCAATGTAATAATTTTTTTGATATAACATTTTGACTCTCCTAATCAATAGTTAATCCTTTGATGGTCCAAATTCGTGATCTAATATTTCCTACGATATTTATTTCAAAAATATATTAATCCAATAAATTAATTTTATCTTCAAAATTCAATAAAAGCACTAAATAAGTAACATTACACCCTTCATGCTGACACAAATCAATAAATAAATAAACAGCTCATTTTGACAATTTCCAGCACTAATTCTAGAAGGTTATGAATTTTTTTTTTAGCCTGAAGAAACGAAAGCGCAATGGAATGCATGAACAACTTCTTGCATGCACATAGGGAACTTCCAATTAGCTTTGTGATTGTTGATGCATATACGTATATATTAGGAGTAGCACCATATAGACAAGAGATAAATTTCTTCAGTCATATTGCGTCTGGCCATCAAGTCATTTCCACCATGGCAGTTCATCTGAGCATGTTGAATTTTGAGTGCTTCTATTTTGTCGGTCATACCATCTCTCCATGTGGCTAGAAATCCTAATGTCACATGGCAAATTATTAACAATGTACCATGACCAAAATGAAGAAGAAACAATGCCTTTATCAGAGTTTCAAATGTGATACCTTCAGCGTGATAGACAAAGTGATTGATGTCATCTGGATAGTTTCAAATGTGTTCTGATTGGTGCCAAACTCCATGGTAATAGAATATGGCAGATTACACATTCCGGAGATCTACATCCTGTAGCTTGACCAAACCTATTTCCTTCATCAATTTCCTGATTTGAACATAAATGATGTCCTGTGGATCAAATAAATTCTCATTAGTGCTGGAACTTCCCGGATTATCCATTCCTAAAGAGCTAAATTCTGGGAGCTTGACCAGACTTATTTCCTCCATGAATTATCTCATCTGTTGTGCTGTTGTTTCAAATAAACTCTGATTGGTGTCAGAACTTCATGGATTATCCAATCCTAGACAGCTTCATCATGGCAGCTTGGCTAGACCTATTTCCTTCATGAACTTCCTGATCAGAACACAAATGTTGTCCTGTATTTTGCTTCAGAAAAAAATCCTGGTTAATGTCAGAACTTCAAGGTTGTCCATTCCTAAGGAGATACATCCTGGCAGCTTGACCAGACCTATTTCCTTCATGAATTACATAATCTGATGTACCGAGTTTCAAATAGATTTTGATTGATGTTGTTGGAACTTCATGGATTATTCATTCCTAAAGAGCTACAACCTGGCAGCTTGACCAGACCTCTTTCCTTCATCAATTTCCTGATCTGAACCGCTTCATTCCACCTCCCATCTGAAGCATACAAATTGGACATGAGGACATAATAATCCGAAGTATGTGGGAGCAATTCCATCATCCTCTTTACTGCCACTTCCCCGAGCTCAAACCTCGAGTGCATTCTGCAACCATGAAGCAAAGCTCCCCAGACATCAATATCTGCTTGCACCGGCATTCTGTCTATGAATTCCAGTGCTTCCTCAATCTTTCCAGCTCGGGCTAGCATATCAACCATACATGCATAGTGTCTCATGGAGGGAGATATGTTATAATGTTTAGACATACTATCAAAATACTCACGTCCTTCATCAACCATACCTGTATGGCTACATGTCGACAGGATGCTAGTGAATGTTACTTCATTGGGCTGCAAGTCTTTTTCCACCATTCTTCTGAATAGATCAATAGAGCCAGCAGAATCACCTTGCATTCCATAGCCACACATCATCGCACACCATGTCACAGCATTCCTATTGCTCATCTCATCAAAGACTCTGTTAGCTAACGTCACGTCACCATACTTGTTATAGAAATTGATAAGAGTTGTACCAACATGAGTATTGGAAAGAAATCCAAACTTGATGGCATATGCATGCAAGGAACTGCCAAGGTGTATATCTCCCAAGCAGGCACAAGAAGAGAGAACACACACTACTGTGACAGCATCCGGTGAGCACCCATCTGACCTCATTTGGTTGAAGAGTGTCAAAGCTTCTTGGCCTTGGTGATTCTGAGAGTACCCTGCAACCATTGCGTTCCAGGTAACGACATCCTTCCGATAAACCCTTTTGAATATAGAATTAGCTTCCTCGAGCATGCAGCATTTTGCATACATATCAACAAGCGCATTCATCACCACGGAACACTCTGCTATCCCTAATTTGATCCCAAGTGCATGAATTGAATTACCCGATTCCAAGTCCCTCAACTGTGCAGAAGCAGAAAGAACACTAGCTATGGTCACCGAGTTAGGAACCATTGCCACCCATTTTGTATCAGAAAATAGCTTCAATGCCTCGAGCGGACACCTTCTCTGCGTATACCCAACAATCATAGCAGTCCACGAGATGAGATCCACATCATCCAGTTCATCAAAGACAGAACGGGCATCTGCAACTTCCCCACACTTCACGTACATATCTAGGAGTGCGCTACCTACAAAGGAATTCATACACATTCCATGCTTTATCACACGACCATGCACCCATTTTCCTTGATGTAAGGAATCTAGCATCGAGCATGCAGTGAACATACTCCCCACCGTGTACTCGTTAAGCTCAACGTCCTCCTCTTGCATCCGATTGAACAGAAGCACTGCTTCTGCAGCACAATCATTTTGAGCATACGCAGATATCATCGAAGTCCATGAAACCACATTTCTGTCTTCGAGTCCATCAAACAATCGTCGAGAAGAATCCATGTCTCCGCATTTCGCATACATGTCAATGAGAACGTTGAGCACGAAACTATCAGGACCTCCAACCTTGGCTGTGTGGCCGTGCAGCTTCCTGCCTTCGTCAAGATCGAGCAACTTGACGCAGGCCTTCAACACAAGCGAGAAGACCGTGTTATCGAGCTCACGGAAACGGTATCTCATCTGCAAGTAACACCTAATCGCGTCAGCATATTGCTTATTCAAAACGTACCACCGAAGCATCACTCTCCACGAGTAAAGGTCTGGGTCAGGAATTCTATCAAACACCATGCGGGCGGATTCGATGTCTCCAAGGGAACCATAGGAGCTGAACAGTTTGGTCTGACATGGGAGGTGTCGGTGGAGACCATGGACAAGAATCAGGCCGTGGATCCTCCTGAGGGCGGCGATGTCAGGGCAGGAAGACAGCAGAGGAAGAAATGTGCTCGGCGAGTGTGGCCGATCGGGAGCGTCGGGAGGCTGCTTGATGAAATGAGTGGAAAGCGACCGCCTGCTATGATGATCCGATGGATTCAAGGGGCGTGCAAGAGCGGCGCAGGGTTTGGTCTTCGGCGAAGGAAAGAGGCAGGCGTTCCTCTTCGAAGCATGGAATGATCTCATTCTTCATCACCCATCAACCGAAAGCTTTCTTCATCCTTACCACCAACAATAATAAGCTTATATATTGCTTGCGCGAACATCTAATGGGATCAGAAACAGCACTCTGTCATCTTTATTCGGATTAAATTTAACATGTAAAATAAGTGTTTATAAATATTTTGAATTGGATGATAAATACTCCCACAAATTCATGATATTAAGAATAGAGCATACTTATTACGTAAGAGATGAGATCACTCGATCTCGTATGGTTGCCTTTGGCCCACCGCATGCCACTCCACGTGGCCCACCGCATGCCACTCCTCGGTCACGACTACTCCCCCGTCAGCTCAACCCCACCACGAGGGCTCGTCGGATAACTCTCATCCCACGGTTGCCATCCTCAGCTTTCGGTGATGGAGTTGGCTTGAACGAGAAGTTGTCGACGTCTACGACACCCGCATCGATGGCTTTGTTGAAATGGAGAAGGAAGAGATCGTAAATGATGAGGCTCCCAAGAAATATCTTGTAGACGATGAGAGACGAGGAAGAAGTTGCTCCGAAGGGGAAAAGGAGGGCGAGCATGCATTCGCCCTTGAAAGGATACAACAACACGTCGAGGGTGTTAGCGACTTTTGCAAGAGGCTATCGAAGGAGGTGAAGATGAGTGAACAGTAATAGGGATGCGACCACAACACAGAAGAGGTCATAAGGTAAAATGGTAAAGATGATTAGAAAGAGACGCTTCGCATGAATAAAACGACAAGGATGCTCTGCATGCAATAATGGAAACTGGGATCTTCGTTCTTGTTTATTTAGTTTTCTTTGAACAAAGTCTTGGGTTGATTGTTCCAACCTATAATTTGGCGCGGCTAAGTCTACAGTAGGTTCGCTGTCTCAATTTGCCCGGTCACCGCTCCACCAAATCCACCGATACATTGTGCACGCATTTTAAACGCACCCTTTGAACCACCGCACGCTCCATTGGAGACATGTTTGGAGCCCCTGAGATACACCCGCCCGCCATATGGGAGGTATATTATTCGGGTAATATACGAGTAGTATGGAAAGCACCGTTGGACCAATTCTCGCTCGTCTCTCCCCTGCCTTCCTCTTCCCACCGCGTGCTCTACGTCAATGGCTGCAAACCTAACACTCGACCACTTCCTCCCACCTTCAGTCTTCGCCTCCTCCTTTTGAAGGCGGAAGGGAAGAAACTTGTATAAGAGAGGCCTCGGGCAGCCTACAGCCGACAGCTCTGTCGCAGAGAGCTTTCTCCTATTGTGTTTGGATCTTGCTTTCCTCTCTCTGTTATCCACTCCGTAGAGATCCTCCTACTCTTTCATTAGTTCTTATTGCGTGGGAGCGATGGTGGGGATCAATTTGAGGCAGACGACGATGGTGCGGCCAGCGGAGCAAACGCCGCGCCGGAGGCTCTGGAATTCGAACCTGGATCTGGTGGTCCCGCGGTTCCACACGCCGAGCGTGTACTTCTACCGGCCCAACGGGTCGCGGGGGTTCTTCGACGCAGCGGTGCTGCGGTCGGCTCTGGGACGGGCGCTAGTGCCGTTCTACCCGATGGCCGGGCGGCTGGGGCGGGGGGAGGACGGGCGGGTGGAGATCGACTGCAACGGGGAGGGCGTGCTGTTCGTGGAGGCGGAGGCGCCTGACGCGACGGTGGACGACTTCGGGGACTTCGCGCCCACCATGGAGATGAAGCAGTTGATCCCGCATGTGGACTACACTGGCGACATCTCTTCCTTCCCGCTGCTGGTGTTGCAGGTTTGGACTCGCCGCACTCGCTTCCTCACGGAATCTCTTCCTACCACTTCAATCGTGTTTTGCCTTCTTAACACTTTCTTTTCCTTCTTCTTCTTCTTCTTCTCTCGAAGCCAAACATTGGGTTTATTTTCACAAATAATGTGTTACATGTTGGATATTAAGTCTATTTAGATCATAACGATTAAACACTACTACAAACATTCGGTATGAAAGCATGTTTTCGAAGGCTTTAGTAATTCGATTAGGATGCCATCTTCCATGAACAAGTCAGCTACTGTCTCTTGATCTTCCAAAGTCCACTCTTGCGTATGACGACTGAGTAAAACCTTCTTTTGTCGGTGCTGCGAATTGGTCAAAGGATCGATCATCATGCATGGAAAAATTGCAAGTTGCATGTGGAGACTTCTTCCAAGTCCTTTGTCTTCTTGAACTCTATTATCCTTGTACTCTCTTCCCAAGAACTGCAGCTTGTATTCATATCAACAAGTTAGATAGCCATTGCAGTCTGAGCTCACGACCGATAAATGGAAAAACGCAGGTGACCTACTTCAAGTGCGGCGGCGTGTCGTTAGGTGTCGGCATGCAGCACCAGGTCGCCGACGGCTTCTCCGGCCTGCACTTCATCAACTCCTGGTCCGACATCGCCCGCGGTCTCGACGTGGCCGTTCCTCCCTTCATGGACCGGAGCATCCTCCTCGCGCGCGACCCCCCGACGCCTTGCTTTCCCCACGTCGAGTACCATCCTGCCCCCCACATGAAGCGCCACCACCGTCCTGGTGCGGAAGACTCTGTCGAGGCCCCCACCGCCGCCGCCGCCGTCGATATCTTCAAGCTCACCAAGGCCCAGCTGAGCCTCCTCAAGCTCAAGGCACCGCCGGGTCCCGCTTCCTACAGCACTTACGCCCTCTTGGCGGCCCATGTGTGGCGGTGCGCGTGCGTCGCGCGCGGCCTCCCGCCGGACCAGCCGACGAAGATGTACATCGCCACGGACGGCCGGCAACGGCTTCGGCCGGCGCTTCCGGAAGGGTACTTCGGGAACGTGATCTTCACAACGACGCCGATAGCGACGGCGGGGGAGGTCGCGGCGGAGGGCTGTGGGCCGGCTCCGGCGGCGGGGAGGATCCAGGCGGCGCTGGCGCGGATGGACGAGCCGTACCTGCGGTCAGCGCTGGACTACCTGGAGTTGCAGCCGGACCTGGCGGCGCTGGTGCGGGGGGCGCACACCTTCCGGTGCCCCAACATCGGGCTCACCAGCTGGGTGCGGCTGCCCATCCACGACGCCGACTTCGGGTGGGGCCGGCCTGTGTTCATGGGCCCCGGCGGCATCGCCTATGAGGGCCTGGCTTTCCTGCTGCCCAGCCCCACCGGCGACGGCAGCCTCTCCCTCGCTATCTCGCTGCGGGCCGACCACATGCTCAAGTTCCGCAAACTCATCTACGATATGTAGACCGAATTGTCTATTTCATTCGTACTAATTTGTATGTAAACCAATAATTTCTACGGAATTTAATTAACTATAATACAAAAAAAATTAACTGACACATTGAAATTTGTCATATGAAGCTTTGAACTTTCCATATCAATTTATTATAAATTAAATTAATACTTATAAATCTTCTTTTTTTAGTATTAATATTTTATTAGGCTAATAATTGTTTGACCGAGCTTCTCTAGTCTTCACGAGTATGCACCAATTAATTCGTAATCTTGTCAAATATATATAATTTCAGAATTTTGTATTAATTCGAATAAATTTGACAAAAAATTATATATTTTCCAATTAGTTGATCAATTTTGACTACTATGTATAATCTATTTCAAATCTGATATTTGGATAAGCCACTATGTGTTATGACTGGCGAAGGGTCAGAGAACGCCAACATTCCAAACCAAAGTCAACAAAAGGCGGCCCCCAAGAAGTAAATATCAACATAACATCGTCCTTTTCTTTGGCACCGATGATAAATCCTCCGGTGGCTTTCCAGCTCTTTCAGGCGTGCTCCTCCTGTCGACCCTTTTCCTCGCGGAACCCATCTCCGTTCCCAGATCGACGCGGCTGCCGCCGTTCCCGATCGCCTTCCGCTCCGATCGACGCTCCTCCGTGAGTGAATCTCAATCGCCCATCCCTTCCTTTTCTTGCGTCGGCTGTTCTTGGATTCGGTACTTCTCTTGATCTGCGCGTTCTGTTGGTCGGCGTAGTCGTCTAGGAACTTTTTTCCCCGCACGTCTACATGTTTCTTTTGAGATCAAGATAAGTATCTGCTGGGGGGGGGGGCGCGCGTTGTTTGATGTCGCTGGCTAGTGCCCTCGAGCTATGTGAGCAGGACCTTTTTGACCGAGGGTTTCTTGATGTTGACGATCGTGGTGGCGGTGTTGCTGCTTCGAAGTATTTGCAAAAGTAATGGTTCTAGGGCTATCAAATATTGTTTTTCTAATGGCTTCTTGCACAACGGGGCATGTTGGGAGATGTTTCTGTTGATGTATTTTGGTAAATGTGAAGGATGTCAAATTATGCCCATGGGAATTATTGGATTTTATGCCGTTTATCTGCAATTGGTGATCCTAGAATGCACTTCCTTATATTAAAGCGGTTTTGAGCTGGCTAACATGAATGGTCAAGAACCTTAATATCGTTAATTTCCTGGAAAAATAGTATTGATGATGTAATCAGTCTACATCAAACAGATAAATATCTGCTTTTGAAATGTACTGAAATAGATAGAAGAAAAGAACACATTATGCTCTCATCAAGACTGATGAAAACCCATCGGTAGTAATCTATATTGATCCATGAGAGATCATTGCTGATCCGTGACATGCATGAATTCCCTTTTCTAGAACGTCTTAAGGGAAATAATGCCGTAAGATTGTTGAGCTCACACAAATTATGCAATACCATCTTAACTGAAGTCTTTTAAATATACTGTAAATCAGAACATGAATGTCGAGATAAACTATCACCTTATAGAACGATGTGTTGTTTAGTCCTTTGCTGTTGGTGTACAGCCTACATTGTTAATTGAGGTTGTAGATCTTATGTGCATCCTTAACGTATAAATATGAAGGTGTGCAACATTTCTCTGGATTGAAGAAAACATGGATTAGTGACTACTGCTTGCTTTTTCTTTTCTGTCTTTGCTTTCCAAGAATCATTAAGCTTTGAGTTAGATATTTATCTGGAAGCATATCTGTAATTTTGGTAGATGCATCTTAAATGTTTATATACCTGGAAATTCACTGCTTATATTTGATGATTTGTCTTGCAACCTGAAGAAACCATCTTTGTTGTCTTTGTTGATTTCTTTCATTTTCCTTTGAAGTGGCAGGAAATTGCATTAAGAGTGGCCACCTTAATTTCAGGTAAAAATGTATTTATGGTGTCATTATTTTGTGTTAATTTTTGTATGACATTCTATGTGGACATAAGCTTTTATTTGACTTATCCGTGACTCAGAATGGGAATCTACCTTAGCAGCCCAAAAACCGAGAAGTTTTCTGAAGATGGTGGGAATCCCAGGCTTAGGTTTGGATTGTCATCTATGCAAGGTTGGCGTGCAAGTATGGAAGATGCGGTGAGCAATACTATTAAAATTTTTCTTAAAGTTAATTTTTAATTATCCAGCATATATATGTTTTTGTTGAAGCATCATTGGCTATACATTGTAACATGTCATTATAATTAATAAATTTGTAGCATTTAGTTATTTTTCTGTGATAATTATTTGTATGCAAATTTTGCTCAATTAATCGTGTGATGTTCCACGATGGGGATGCCATTTCATGAAATGTTATGATTCTTTCAATCTTTTTCATGTTGGATGCCAAATGTCCATTACTTTCAGCTTTTTCATCTTTTTTGGATAACAACCTTCACAATTATCAACTGTGTGGTCAATCAAAGTAGTTTTGGTACTTGGTAGGTTTGCACTAACTCATGCTTAGTTTGTAGCACTTAAAGCACTGAATGTCTAGGTGTTGCTGTTATTATGGTCCAACACAGGTTGGAAATTTTTTTGTTATTTTTTTGTATATTGCTGATCGTATGGAAATTGGTTTATTACCTGGAAATGCTGGTACCATACCAATCTGGTAAGTTTCGGTAGTCAGTATAAGATTGATATTTAATACCTTGCTTTCTGATTAATCCCTCCTTTAAACTACATGAATGTGGTTGAGTCAACATTAAATTGTGCTTAATTATCTATAGTAAAAATGCAAAATAACTCGAATCTCCATGAACTTGAGAAGGAAAAGGATCTGGAGCTAGCTCAGCTGTTTGTATTCAAGCAAAAGGCTAATAATGTTGTGTCTTGTTATTAATTGAATAACTCTTGTTCATATGGTGCATTTGGCATTAACGGAGTGGATATTTTTACCATTTATAAATTTTAGTCTTTGCTGATCCATGTTCTGTTTGCTTTCCATGCCTTATTGGCTTACACAGGCAACTTGCCACCTTATTATAATATCTTGTCACTTGATTCATTTGGCCATGTGTTTGTATTTACCTATATACCATGTGTGAGACATCAGTTTCTGTTATCATATTCTATGTTTCACACTTATTTCTCACATTGCAATCCCAGCATGCTGCTCTGCCAGATCTCGACAATTGTACATCATTCTTTGGTGTTTATGATGGCCATGGAGGTAATGCTTTTAATTTGATGCACTTTCTAGAAGTTTACGCTCTTTGTTTATAAGCCATCATAACACCTATATCCTTGGTTTTTGGACCTGATGTGGGAAAGCCTTCTTCCTTGTCTTTAACATCACATGCTATGTAGCAAAACTAATGTGCTTGCTGGAATATATCAATACTTGAATGCATCACAAGCAGAAAATTTGCCTAGATATTGAAGAAATACGATTTGGTACACACACGATAAATAAAGGAAGAAAAGCTACGATGTTTATAACTACTGAAAAAGGCCTATTATGTGATGAAATCATGAATTATGGTCATATGATTATGATGTGCTTCCTTGTGTGAAAATAGAAAAAGTGAACTTCCGTTTCTTTTAATGAAAAATCAGTGCAACTCGAATTGTGTATCTGTACCTGTTAATGATATGAAACGTTGGAAGCGGGGACTGGCCTTTCCATCCACTTCAGGAATAGTTATTTGGCCCTTGACACATCAAAGATTGGTTACCTGCCTTGTCTCATAACCAAATCTTCTATACAAGAGTCTAGGTGACTAAAATACTAGATTTTTCTTTTGTTCATGGGGAGCTCCTTCTCAAAAATTTTGTGATTGCTTTTGTTCTTTAATTCTATATTTTCTTTTATTGTAAATGCTACAAGAATTGATATGTTATAGCAACTGGTTCCGCTCTATCACTAGTTATCTTCCTATTTCTATCTCATATGTTTTTTATTCTGGGGTGAATCCTGATTCAGGAAAAGTAGTTTCCAAATTCTGTGCAAAATACCTACACTCTCAGGTCCTCAAGCATGAGCTTCATTTGGGTGGTGATTTAGCTGCTTCAGTACGAAAAGCATTTTTTAGGTATAATCCTACTTCCGTCTTCCAGTATCTGGTGCTTTGAGCTGAGCTCTGAAATTCAGTCGTATCATTATCGTTAATACATGGTATTTCACTAATCATATCATTATCGTTATAGCAAAGAACTTAGTAGTCTAATGCATTAATTAATATGTCCTAGACTAATGCATTAATTAATTTGTCGTACATCTGATGCTTGTTTTGACACAGAATGGATGAGATGATGCGAGGACAGAGAGGGTGGAGGGAGTTAGCTATATTGGGGGACAAGATGGACAAATTCACTGGCTTAATTGAAGGCTTGATATGGTCCCCAAGAGGTGGTTATTCTAATGAACATGCAGATGAATGGGCCTATGAGGAGGTAGTATATCAATCTAGTGATGTTATAAGTTTGTTCAAGTTGTTCTGCTGTTTCATTTAATATGTTGGAATCCCATATTTGAACACTTTGTATTTGTTAGTTGTTAAAAGGATTGGTTATCATTTGACTGTATGTGAGCGAGGTTTCTTGCTCATATGTTTCCGGTACATACTATATCTTAGTACAAAAATTAGAGAAAAAGATACAAAACATGTTCTTATAAATCGTCGCATCGTTTTTACCAAAGATTTGCCATTTCAACATCTGTTCCTTGTCCATGCATCATAACTGAGATTGTTCTTGTCGGTGTTAGTTGTTAGACCAAATCCTGAAAAGGAGTACATTTTGTAAGTATTAGTGCTTCCATTGGGAATCTTGTCATTCAACTGAACTCTTTATCAGGGACCACATTCTGATTTCTCTGGACCAACATCTGGAAGCACAGCTTGTGTGGCAGTTATTAGAAACAACCAACTCATTGTTGCAAATGCTGGCGATTCTCGTTGTGTTCTGTCTAGGAAGGGTCAGGTTTGTGACGGGGAATTCCTTCTACTGATGTGTGCTCTCTTGTGCTTTCATCAAACTACATCGTAGATCAAAGATGTGCCTCCTTCATGTAATTTTATTTGTCATCTTTTTTCTTCGTAGGCGATCAGTTTGTCAACAGATCATAAACCAGATCTTGATGAGGAGAGGGAAAGGATTCTAAAAGCAGGAGGCTTTATCCACGCAGGGCGAGTAAATGGAAGCTTGAACCTGGCTAGAGCAATTGGTACTTCCACAGTGCAGTTAATAAAATTTGTAAGCATGTCTTATGATTTTGTTTGAACTTTTGAGACTCAACTTTGTGGCAGGTGATATGGAATTCAAGCAAAACAAGTTCTTGCCTGCTGAAAAGCAAATTCTGACATGTAATCCAGACATAAAAATTGTAAGTTTTTCACAATTCTATTGTAGGTAATGGTTGAAGTTGAATTCAAAACCTCTTTTACTCCAATCTACAGTGTTCTATGAGTCATGTGACAAGTCCAGGTTTGGTTTGTTGGTAATCGTTGTAGGTGGAGCTGTGTGATGATGATGACTTCCTCATTCTAGCATGTGACGGAGTCTGGTATGCCTTATCAGCGAATCTAACTTTAAGATAACAAAACGTAGCATAACTAATCCCACAGTGAATTTTCTCAAGCATTATGTGTCTCCTATATCGGATGCAATTTCTTGCCTTTATGTTTCGACAAGCTTGTATTTGATATCTGAGAGTCATTCATGTGGATAATTGATTATTTGATTCAACAGTAAGCCTCAAATGCTAGTGTTGTCAAATGTCCGTCCACAATATAAATTTTGCAATAGTATTGTCTTTCATGCTTCCCATGCATCAAACTACTCGGACAGTCGGACTAAATTGTATGTCAAATGCTTGATGTGCTTGGGATCTTTTTTCTCTTGGAAAATTGGGACTATTTCTGGTAGGTTATCTTAAATAAGTAGTGATGGTGCATGTGTCATAATATGATAAAAAAATACTAGATTTAGAAAATATATAACAAGTGTCTGTGCCAGAATGGGCAACTGTAAGTGTGTTCTTCATTGGTAGGTAATAACAAGCTTGTATTTAGTCATCACCAACTGTTCCACTGTCATTGTGACCCGCTGAGTAAAAAATCACACTTTATTGCGGCTTTGTATCATATTAACCTGTACGGAAATTTTCTACCACACAATGCAACTTTTTTAGGACATATTACAGAGAATCAGATTCAGCAACCGAGTTGTCATTTATATATGTAATTTGAAGTATTACTGTACTTGATGGTGTTTGTGGCTCATATTACCAGGGATTGCATGTCAAACCAGCAACTGGTGGATTTCATCAATGAACAGACAGAAACTGTGAGCATCTATTCTTTGATCACGTTTAAGCAGACTTGTTTTTCAGACCTTCTCTGCCTACCATATAGCAATAATTCAAGCTATAAAATCAATGACCTTGTTGCGATTTATTGTTGAATTTGCATTGATCATAAGAACTTGCATACCTTGCGTACTCAATAACTCAACTCAGGCAATGGAAATTGTTTCAATTGCTGATTACTATGTCATAGTCTATAGATTTAATGGAAAAGAGTGGTTCTACTGGCTTATATTAATCGTGGCATTCACTGCCTGACTGCAGGAGAGCCGCCTGTCAACAGTATGCGAAAGAGTACTGGATCGGTGTTTGGCACCGAACACTATCAGTGGAGAGGGATGCGACAACATGACGATGATACTGGTGCAGTTCAAGAAGCCTCAAATCCAGTGATACTGATCCATAGCACGTAATCATGCTACGGTGAGCCAGGGGTGTCTCGGTGGTCTTCTATCCTGTGTAGATCTGAAAGTGCAGTGTACATAACCAATATGACCCCTTCAAAGTTATAATAGCTTAGAGGCCTGGATTCGTCATCATATGATGGAATTCCTTGGAACAACATGGTATCATCATTGTCTCCTACTTCCTCTGCAGTACGTCTATGTTTGAGTTGCAACGAGTTCGCTTCCAATTGAACGTGTAAATCAGTATCCAAGGTTTGATTTATCTTATTTTGGCATTTGTAGACATCTACATGGAGCGGGTTTGGAAAGGTATATTGGACTGTTAGCCCGCTTACCCGATCCGAATCTGACTCGATTAGATGCCTTTACATCTTCGGATTGAGTTTTGATTTTTGCAGCGGTGACAAAAGCAGAAGGCATCGGATGTCAGTGCGAGTTCTGATTCAGGCGCTGTTCTCGAGATCTCGAGGGTTCATGGGAAAGCGAGGGACATGGAAGAAAGTCCAGTCCCATCAACAAGAACGATATCATGCTTCGTGTGTACCATTACCACAACAATAACATGGATTAACGTGCATGTGTATTCGGTGCTCCCAATCATTTGGCGATCGGATCTGTTACTAAGAGTTTGAATCTCTCATCTTGTCGTTAGTGAACATTACATTAGGCTATCTAATGTTGATTATATGGATTTTTATCATAAAATTAATGAAAATTTGAATGTTCTAAAGTTATTTCATATTATAAAAAAAAAGAAAAAAGAAACATACCGCTGTAAAAGATCGAACCGGTCCGGACGGATCGATCCGGTTCGATTTCGATCACGACTCTGGGCCGAGTCCGGATAATAGCTGGATTTCTCTGGAACCCTTCCGACCAAACCTCTCGTGCTCTCTCTCTCTCTCTCTCTCTCGGTCTCGCTCTCGGGCTAATGGCTACAATCCTGAGAACGCCGGCGCTCTTCCTCCACCCTCCGGCGGAGGTGGCGGCACGGGCCGCTCTTCCGGCGGCGCCGAGGGGACCTCCGTACTTCTGCGCGAGGCGGAGGATCTCGTGGTCTTTAAAGCTACAGCTGTCCCCTCTCGCCTATAGGCGTCTCTGCTTCCCAAAGTTCAAAATCTTCGCCGCCTATGGGGACACCACAGAAGCCGAAGAGATTGCGGAAGCTGTGGAAAAGGTATCGTCTATGTGCTTCCGGTCTGCTCTTTTCTGGTGCAGAGGCACGATTTCGTTCCGAATTCGTGCTTTTATCGATTATTGCCACTCTGAATGGAATGGTTTCGGGTGATTATTTGGTTTCTTATGCGTGTATTTAGTTATTGCGTTAGAAATTTTGTTGCTAGTCTCTGATTTAACCGATCCCCCTTAATTTGGTCGGTAAACACTAACTTTTTTGTGACACATTTTTGGCTATGACGCCCTCTTCCAGTAGATATTCATGATCGATCGTGAATGATAGTGTGAGTAAATTCCTGATAGGCCTTCTTGAAACCGAGTTTGTAGGGACATTTTTCCAGAGTTTGGTTGGTTAATTTTCTGGAATACCAATCATACGGGAATCTGAGAGCAAAGACCATGGGAGGGGTAAATTATCAGCGTGGTAATTATTTTGCTGTTCTGATGCAAAGTGTGGTTTTGTCTGGTAGGATCTACAGAAGGCTGATGACAGTCAAATGCTTGATAACCTTGTTGATCTCTTTATGGGTGGACACAATCTTGATTAGAACCTCATAAAACATGGAACTTTGTTTTGATTAATAAGGATGCTGTAAGAACTCAAGAAGACAAACTTCCTTTTATGTTCTAGAAATATAGCTGAGCAAATGAGTTTAGGCAACGTTATTAAGACAAATGTTGGTGCTTTTCTTCTTTCTGATGTTGTGCTCAAAGTTGATCTCTAGTTCTCAAGTCTGTTGGTCAAACTTTGCATAAACAAATTCATCCTTTATTCTTATAAGGTGAGCAGACATACATTTGCTTCTACTCTGAAATTTAGTCATGCAAACATGACAAATTTCAGATAGACATGTCAAAAGACCTTCATTGTTAATGGTGGATTTGGATTATTACACAAGGATATCAGGATCAATGAGAAACATGCATACAGAAATCTTATGTTGCCAATTCTTCTTAAAGTGTCTCGTAAATCTCTTTAAGTGGTACAGAAAATTATGCATGCATCACACAATTCAGAGGCTGTATGAGCTAGGGTCATGGTAGATAAATCATATGAATTAGGATATTAGGGTCAATGACAAACATGCAAATGGTAATCTTGTGTTGCCAATTCTTAATAAAGTATCTCATAAATCTTGTTAGGTGATACAAAAAAATATGCATGCATCATGCAATTCAGACGCTGTAGGAGCTTGAAATTGTAGGTAGGGTCATGGTAGATAAATCATATGAATGTATTCAGACTGTAGTTCTTTCCAAGATGCTGCTTGAAGCATGTTTGTTGTGGAAACAATTAATAGGTAAACACATATATATGTTATGTATATTGTGGTTGCCCCTAAATTTCTGCTACCATTTTTTCTTGTAAGTTTGATGTAAGTATAAATATTCTCTAGCTTTTTAGACCCTTTAAGACAACTTCAAGGACCTCTTTCTGGGACCCATTGAAGAGATTCAAGAAACATTTTTTTTTAATTATAGGTTTTAGATTGCTTTTGTCTATCGATATCATTTTTGTCAATTAAGGTTTCATTTTTATCAAATAGACTGATAACTTAAGATGGGAAAATCATGTTTTGGATAGGATAGCTAATGTTGGTACAGGAAAATTTTCAGATTAATACAAGGATTTAGGCAGCTTTTATTCATTACTCTTTTCCTTGGAGAAGTTATAACATGAGAGGGTTATTCACATCTGATGCTTGCTTATATGGTGTTGGCCTTAAGAGATCATAATATCATATGATGAATTTCTTGCAGAAAGCCTGATATAACACTGTACCAGTGATTGTTAATGATATTTTATGTAATGATGTAAGTAGTTTTGCAGAGTCAATGAAGCTTTCTTTCCAATTTATGTGGGACTGGTACTGCACATTTTTTGGCAGATTCTGATGATTAATATAGTGGAAGACCATACTAAGAAGTGTGAAAATTCAGTTGCTGCTAGACTAGTAGTTTCTTCACCTTTCCATTTAGGTCTATTTTCTTAATATATCGTTGGTTTGGTGGATGTAGTCCTGAGGCACATGTGTGTCTGTTTATATATATGTATATACATACATTACATATATATACATGCAATATATATAACACTTTTAGATCTAATTACTTACCATATACATATGACTTATGTCCATTTCTGATAATATCCACCGACTTAATGGTAGCCTCTGATCTTAGTACTTAATTTCTTACTGTTAACTATGAACTAAAAGTTAACAGGTTAGGAGGACTAACAATGTTGTTCAGGATCTTTTTTGAAGGAAAATGCTTGGAATAACTTGAGCTCAATTAGGATATGCTGATAGGTGTTGAGATCTTATTGCATATTATATTTAGTTTTCTTCATATGCAACTTTTTCACATCTTCATGGATTGTCAAAGATCTTTTTGGAAAATGCTAAGTAGAATAAATTTTAATTCTGTTGACAGGAACCTAGTTTTATGATAGTTGATAGAGGTGAGGTGGATAATCATATTTTGGTCTCAATTCATTTCACTTAAAACCACAATTTATTTAGCTTTTCTATTTTGTGAGTGATGCCTGATTTAGTCATGCTAACATATTTATTTTTCAGGATGATTCTGATGAAGAAACTTCTTTAGAGGATGGAGCAACTGATGGCGGCATTATTGACACAGAAGAAACTGTTGCTTCGACTGTACTGTTGTCACTGCAGTCATACAAAGAAGCTTTGGCAAATAATGACCAAACCAAAGTTGCTGAAATAGAATCATTTCTTCAGTCAATTGAAGATGAGAAGAATTCTCTTTCATCTAAAGTTGCTGCTTTGGCTGAAGAATTATCAACAGAACAGGATCGCATTCTTAGGATCAGTGCCGACTTTGACAATTTTAGGAAAAGGACAGAGAGAGAAAGACTTTCTTTGATGACGAATGTGCAAGGTGAAGTTATAGAGAGCTTATTGCCTGTTTTAGACAACTTTGAAAGGGCTAAAACTCAAATAAAAGTGGAGACCGAGGGAGAAGAGAAAATTAATAACAGCTATCAGAGCATTTATAAGCAGTTTCTGGAGATCCTGACCTCTCTTGGTGTGGAAACAGTGGAAACTGTTGGGAGTACTTTTGATCCTATGGTAAGTTTCTTTGCTTTCTGTTTTGTGTATATATGGCTCATGTTAACTTCGCTGTCTGCTTCTTAGTTCAGTTACTTTATTCCATCAAACCATTTTATATCTTTCAGCCATGCTGCAATCAGAAATATACTGCTTATATGTTGTTCCTGAATATCAGAACTGAAATTGGGGATCCCTACCACAAATTTCTGCCTGGGTCAAGATTCATCATTGTTTGTAATTGCAATATAAATATATCCTAATATTACTAGTTTGAGGGACATACAAGGATATCCCTTTTTTTTGGGTGCACTATTCATATTCAAGAAACCAAATTTGAAATACACCCAGACTATAATACCTTGACTCCCGAAACCGGCAAGTATCTGATTTATGCCTGGAAAACAAAATCTGGGTCAAGATTCTCTATATCTGTTGATTAAATTCTTTCCTTAGCTTACGTGCTTGTGATTTGTTATTGAAGCTTCACGAGGCAATTATGCGTGAGGAATCAATGGAGTTCGAAGAGGGCATCGTAATTCAAGAATTTCGCAAAGGTTTCAAACTTGGGGAAAGGCTCTTGCGTCCATCAATGGTGAAGGTTTCTGCTGGACCAGGACCACAAAAGGCGGTAGACGAAAACGTGGTGGTAGAAGATGGTGAAGCGAGTGAAAGCAGTGAAGAAGGTGGAGATTCTGAATAATTTGTACAATCTAATTTCTGCCTTGCAATTTTGTATGTTCAATTATGTTTCTACAATCTAAGAAAGCTTTTACTGTGCAGACATCAAGTTGACAAACCAATCGCTTGCTGCATTTTAAGTTTTGAAGCTTTTGTAGGCATACAACTGCAACTTTTTTATTTTTTATTTTTTGCACTTATCATTATTGTCATGCTTGTGGATAATTCTTATATGCTTTGCGCAAATGCAATCGTTTTTCCCAATATTGTGTAGTACAAAACAAAGTGTTTTTTGAAGGCAGCAGTTTAGCGTTCAGCAAGGAGGAAGAGATGGCAGATTTGTTCCTCTGTCGTCCTTGACGTGAGCGTCTTCCAAGCTGACCACCTCCATGATCCTTTCTATGGTTTCATCCTCCAGGTATTGCTCTCGCTTCGACTTCCATCAGCATATGCATTACAATCTATTCAGGAACTCGTGGGATTTTTACTAAAATTGGCGTTGCAGGTCGACTTCCATCGAGGGACTAAATGTGCTTGTCAAAGTATGAGTCTATATGATTTTGTCATTTAGGATGATGAGCCCAAAGGGTGTATGAGAGTCGAGGATGAATTTGGCCACTTTGATTCTTCTGCTCCCTAAATGAAGGGAGGCTAATTATGTTTATCAATATAGATAATTCTTAGGTCAAACCTATTATAAATTGTCTACCAGATTATTGTAATTGAGGTCATTTATTGTTTCCTTACTTTTTTTTTTTTTTGAAATTGACTTGAATGTCAGAGGGATTTTATCGAAAACAATCTATCGGATCTTGATTTTCATATAGGTCGTTCATTAAAAAAAAGTATGAGTCATTTTTAGTGAAGTAAGAATTGGAACATCACATCATATTTTTATCATCATCAACATCCACCACATTATTCTAGATGGAGGGCTCATGAGGTCTTCTTTCTTTTGTTGGATGTAACATATTAGTTCTACAATGATTAATGAGCAAGGAAATTACAAATACCAGAGTTAGAAGATTACTATTTGTAATATTTTTTATTATTTATGATTTATATTTTAATTTTTTTAATATTTTTAAACTATTTCTATGTAAATGAACGTAAACATTATCTTTTTTCTCTCTTTTTTTTTTCCCTTCTCTTTCTCTCCTCTTATTATTTCTCCTCTACCTTGTTTTTTTTTTTTTCTTTTTTAAGGACAACAATGAGAGGGTAACCATCACGAGGATGGAAATAAGCAGTTATGGAGGAAGAAAAAAAAAAGATAAAATTGATAATACTGGGACTTTAAATAATAAAATAATATTTTATTTTTTTTAAAAAAAAGAGATTATTAATAGTAAGGAAAGAATGTGAATAGTAATCTTCTAGAGTTATCCTCGACCTTTTGGGAATCTCTTCAAAATACCAAAATAGTACCATCTCATCTAAAAGGAACAACTCTTTACTAACCATGGTAACTTATCAACCGACCCTAGATAGAAAGAAGCCCATGAGTCAACCTTAGCCCTCCTAGTCCTTATAAGTGTGTCAAATGATGATTTATCATACCTCACCTTGCTTTCACGCCAAAGTGTTCTTCGACATCATCTCATCTTCCTTGAGGAAATGGGAAAGTGAATTTTATTTCTTATTTTTCAAGATAAGATGGTGACTTATCACGCCTCATCTTGCTTCTCATCGCCAACTGTGTTCTTGACATCACCTCATCTTCCCTCTTCCCTCTTCCCTCTAAGAACATTAAAAAAAACCTCTATCTCTATTTTAATCATGAGAAATCTCATCTATTTATACCGTAATTACTCAAGCTTTATGATTATATGCTTGTGCTTTCATCATGTGTAACCTATAAAATTTATTATTAATTCTTTGTTTCTCATAACCCATGTAATCTTCTTCTTTTTCATGATCATTTGATGATGTATCTACGGAGCCCAAGCAATTTCACTCTCTGGTCGGTCGATGTCCCTCTCGCCTTTACCAATTACACATCCTCATCTTTAGTACAACACAATAATTAAAATAAGGAACTAATTAGACGATGTCACATCATTTCTTAATGTTTCAGGAACATTTATGTACGACACGATGAACCCACGAGGAACCTACTGTCGCGCACCTTCTCTACCTTCCTTGCCTGATGTCAAGGTCACTGGTTTTGCAGGTGAACAGTCGTCGCCGGTCGTGGGGAGGTGGGTTAGCTACGGTTGTCACCGTCTCTATCGCCTCAAGAACGCTATCGATGGCGTCGCCGTCGTCATTGCTCAGCCATGGCGCCACCTGCCGACGACTGACATAACGCGTGCAGTGCGAGTGGGCAATCGCATTTTCAACGAGGACTCGTTCCATTCGTCTATCCTTTTCACTATCATTATTATCCGTCTCCTTCTTTCAATTCACCGCTCTCTTCTTTCTTATGATCATGTTTTCTTCGATCGTGTCTGAATTTTCTTGATAGAATGAGTCATCGTTTGACTCGATCAAACTGGATTACCGTATCTCTTTCGTGGAACTTCATCTTGCTCATACTCATTTTCTTTCATCTTACCATTCAATCAGTCCCTTGTTTCATTAGGACTCTTCTTCCAACCCGGATCTTACTTTTTCTGTCGAAAAACTAAATCGAAATTCTATTCATTATTCCCAATATCTTCATGTGTTTCATGCAAACTCCAGCTTAATTTGAACATGCGTTGCTGCAATTCAAGTATCTTATCCACCCATGCATGCACGTTTCCCAGACGAAGCAATAGCAATCTGAATAGGAAAAGAACACAGAAGAATTTACGTGAAGTTAAGGATCACGTCGACCTTCACCGGTTGCAACCTCCCCTTGCCGATACGTACTTCGTGGCCTTTGGTTCCCATTGGTTCACCATCTTGTGGCCTCCCTTACATCGTTCCACTGGATAGCATCCATATTACCACTCTCCGCCGAGAATATATGTCCGAACACTAACGTACATACAATTACTATTATGATTATTATTCAAGTGCTTACTATTCAACTAACTTACAAATTCTAACTTAGTCATCTACGTGAGGCACATGTACAAGAATGAGGAAGTTGTAGAGGTCAGGCTATATATGTGTTCGTGGATAGGATCTTTGAGGCAATCAGCAACAGTAAGAAGAAGACAAAGGGATGGCCGGTGTAGTTAGGATTACCGCTTCCTCCGTCTTCCATGGCATCTTTGGTGCTCTTAACAACAAGCACCAAGGCGCAGAGGCACCCGCCTTGCTCCATGGTGTGCTTGAAGTTACCATCTACGAGGCCAATCATCTCCACAATGTCATTGAAGGCTTGGTTCTTCAGGTAGTTTGCTCAGCCTTCTATCTCTCTTGTGGTTAATGTGTGGCAAAGATTCTTTTCATGGTGTAGTGATGGCATTACAGGCTGCTGAGAGTGTACAAGAAGCTTTCAAGGACAAGCTTGCTCATACCAGGCTCTTCGCGGCCGTGGAGATCGGTGCTGCGACGGTGGTGAGGACGCGGATGGCTGAGTTCCAACCCGACAACCCAAAATGGAACCAGTCCTTCCGCGTCTACTGCGCTTATACCTCTCCCTATGTCGAGATCTCCGTTCGAAACCAGCTCCAAGTTGCACTCGCCATGGCCGTGGGCCGGGCCAAGATCCCCGCATCCCAGCTACTCACCGGGGAACCAGTGGAAGGCTGGTTCGATCTCTTCCACGACGATGGCCTCAAGATGCACAACGCGCAGGTCCATGCCGTCCTCAAGTTCACACCTATCACCGGCGACCCATGTTGGGACGTGGGGATCTCGAGCAGCTTCAGTGGACTCTCCAACGCCTTCTTCCCCCTGAGGACCGGATGCGAGGTCACTCTGTATCAGGACGCCCACAAGTCCAATCAATTTCGTCCGGCCATCCAGCTCGCCGGCGGGAAAGATTACCAGCCTGCAAGGCTGTGGGAGGATATCTACAATGCCATGGTGGAGGCCAAGCACTTCATCTATGTAACTGGGTGGTCGGTCAATGTCCACATCGAGCTTGTTCGCGACCCGGAGCGCATGATCCCAGGAGCAGAGGCCGTGACGCTCGGGGAGCTACTGAAGCGAAAGGCCGAGGAAGGGGTCACCGTCTTGGTCATGCCGTGGAATGACCGGACCTCCTTGCCCATCCTGGAGGATGTCGGGATGCAGTTTGTAGATTTGATGAAGACTCACGACGAGGAGACGTTCAAGTTCTTCAAAGGAACAAAGGTGAAGTGCTTCCGCTGCTCCCGGAACGCTGACCCCTCCCTCGCCTTCGTTCAGAACGGAGAGCTCAAGTTGATGTTTTCCCACCACCAGAAGACGGTGTCCCTGGATGCTCCCTCCGGCGACGGAGCTAGCAAGGTAGTTAGTTTTGTCGGTGGGATCGATCTCAGTGACGGCAGGTATGACGATGAAAACCACACGCTGTTCGGAAACCTCTCCACCACCTACCTCGATGACTTTCTACAACGCAACTTCAAGAATGCCGACCTCCACCATGGCGGCCCGAGGGAGCCATGGCACGACGTACACTCCAAGGTCGAAGGCCAGGCAGCTTGGGATGTCCTCACCAATTTCGAGCAGAGATGGATAAAACAGGCTCCAAAAGAGTTGACGAATTATTTGGTCAACGTCAGGGAGCGGCCACAAATCTTCCCTATCCCCTCAGACTCCGCGACAGCAGAATCATGGAACGTACAAGTATTCCGATCCATCGATGATGCTTCGGCCATTGGATTCCCTCCCGACCCATCTCAGGCTGACAAGATGGGACTGGTGACCGGGCAAAACGTCACGTTCGAGCAGAGCATCCATTCGTCATACGTCCAAGGCATCAGAAGGGCCAAGAGGTTCATCTACATCGAGAACCAGTACTTCTTCGGGAGCTGTGCTTCATGGGGGGAACACCAAAACTGTGGCTGCTCGAACCTGATCCCCATCGAGATTGCTCTCAAGATTGCCAGCAAAATCCGCAATGGGGAAAGGTTTGCGGTTTATATAGTGACCCCCATGTGGCCGGAGGGAATACCGGAAGGGAACACGGTGCAGGCCATACTGCACTGGAACAGGCTGACCATGGAGATGATGTACAGCATCGTGGCCAAGGCTATAGAGGACAAAGGCTTGGTTGGAAAGGTGAACCCTGGTGATTACCTCAACTTCTTCTGTTTGGGAAACCGAGAGGAAAAGAAACCTGGAGAGTACGTTCCACCGAAGAGCCCGGCGCATGGCACGGACTACTGGAGAGCCCAAACCAACCGGAGGTTCCTCATCTACGTTCACTCCAAGCTGATGATAGGTCAAACTGGTGTTATTGTCTGTCTCTCTGTTATTGTCCTCTCCCGTACCATCGGACTAACTGGTGTTATCTTCTACAGTTGACGATGAGTACGTGATCGTGGGATCTGCAAACTTAAACCAGAGATCCCTAGCAGGTGACAGGGATAGCGAGATCGCGCACGGATCGTACCAACCAGCGCATCTTAATGGATCGGATGGTCGAGCCCGTGGAGAAGTCCATGGCTTTAGGATGTCACTGTGGTACGAGCACTTCATGAGCTACTGCGCGGACACGAGCATCTTCCTCGATCCCGAGAACTTGGAATGCGTGAGGACGGTGAGACGGTTCGCCGAGGAACTGTGGAGCAAGTACGTGGGGGAAGAGGTGGTGGATCTTCGAGGTCACCTGCTTCCATTTCCGGTCCTGGTTTCTGAAGCTGGGACGTTATCAGATTTGCCCAAGGATGGACGCTTTCCGGATACGAATGCTTCCGTGAAGGGGAAGCGATGGGTGCCCACTCCACCCCTCACATCTACCAGCCGAGTCACTGATTTGCTTACCACCTGAAAGTTTTATCTGTTTATCTTTTACTGTCCAATAAATGGTTAAAATCTGTGCTGGTTTACGGTCAGGCGTCATTCTCTTTGTTCGAAACGAGGTGGATCCATTATTTGAATCAATAAATGGTAATCATTCAAATGGAGTTTCTATTGATATTCCACTCAATTTAACTTCTATAAATGGAGAATGAAATGTTAATATTTAGCTTCTACTAGAAGGCAGGCAAAATTAGAAAGCTAAAAGCACAAAAATGGGTCGCTGTTGGACTTTTTCCTTTCTGAATTTGACCAATAAAGAACACCTTTTATCCTTCATTAATAGACAATTTATTGATGTTTTGTAAGTATTTTTAAATATTTTTTAAAAATATATTTATCTGTGGTTTATTCTTCTTTTATGAATCTCCCTTTCTTGGCATCATGCACTTCTAATCTTCACCTCGTCACCATCAACATGGTTGTTGGTGATGTCGCACCAGCTGCAAATGGCACCAACGGCCGAACTGTTTGTCTCACGGGCGCCGGAGGCTTCAACGCCTGCTGGTTGGTGAATCTGTTCTTGGAGAAGGTTTATACTGTAAAAGGAACAGTAATAAATACAGGTGAGAAAAGTACTGATGCCCGATGAACACCTGCTTCCTTCGATTAACTTGTTACAAATTCCATTGTTTATGGAAGAGATGATCCAAAGAATGCGCACCTCAAAGCGATGAAAGGCGCAAAAGAGGCTGAGCGTAAGCGGCCGACCTTCTCGACTTCGACGCTCTTCGTGCTGCTTTTGATTGTTGTCAGGGCGTCTTCCACACTGTTTGCCCTCTCACAGACAACGCCGTATGATTCTAATACTGAATTGATTTATTTTCTTAAATTAAAGGAGAATGATTCATCGTTGATTATGACATGAAACCGTTGTACAATATAAATCATAGGAACAAGTAATTGCGCCGGCTATTAGAGGGAGCCGACGCTAAACGCCAGTTCCGGGCAACGTAGTGAAGTACCTCGACGGGTCGGTGAAGACGTCAGTGAATGCGGTGCAAGGGTACGTCGACGTGCTGGATGTTGCCGATGCGCACACACCGGTCAACGAGGCGGAAAGCGCCGCCGGGAAGCGCTTTATCTGCACCGACAGGGTGCTCTACCGAGAGGGCTTGATCGGATCGACGAGATGAATCCCCGGAAAATGCCATACAAGTTCTCGAACCAAGGGCCTCCAAGAGAAGGGACATCTGCCTGCCGTCCCTCTCGACCGCAAATTCGTGTCAGAGCTCTGATTCACCATCTTCTTCCGCCTGCATATCGGTATTCATGTCTCAATCTTTCCAAAGTTCTTAGATATACACTATATACTCATTGACCATTTACACCTGCTGTTCTTGAATGGGATTCTAAAATAGAGAATAGAATTGTTGCATTCTTGCAAATACCTCCTGATTCAATTAGAGAATTAGAATTGTTCTTTGATTCATGCTATACGAATACCAAAAATGATTCGGAATACCCAAAACCTGACCAAGTGAATAATCTGAAAGCAAACATATAATCTGGAGAAAAATATCCAGGCGAACCAAGTAGCTAGAAAAGGCTAATGAGAGAATGAAACTATGCATGCCTCTTAAGATGACAAACAAAGTTATAAACTACGAAAAAAGATTATTTAGCCTTATAGCTAGATTGCTACAATGAAAAAAAAAAGAGTAGATTTTAGTGTCGAATATTGATTTCAGTATAGAAGGAAGACCTCATCAGATCCAATCTTTTTACTTGACTTGGAAAGTCAGAACCCACGATCAATCGACAAATTGAACCCTCAAGTGTTTTTGAAAGGCAGAGAAGGGTTTGTTGATTCTCAAAATGACTGAGTTAGACAACCAAATCTGATATCAACTTGGACTAACGTAACCTAATTTAGCTTAGAGTTCTGGTACAATTCTAGAAAGGAGTAATAATAAATAATTATTAAGAGAAACAATGAAGATTACTAGTAACCTAACAGGTTAACTTACAGAAGGTAAACGAAAGGAATGAAGAATTAGCAACATGATTTACATGGGCAATTGATAAAACCACTAGTTCCATTCACAAAAATAAACCTCTTCATTCAATGAATTAACAAATGCAATCCCCCAATTCAAAATCCTTTTAAATTGATTAAAACTTATTTTGGTTGAACCACTGTATTAGGACAGTTACTTGAGAGACTAGTGTTCAAATGAGGGACAAGATAAACAAAGAAGTTTATAATAGTTTTCATCATTTATCGGGATGAATAAACGAAATTATAAAATATTAAAACTAGACATTTATAGGTGGGGAAGACAAGAAATGACGTTACAAAAACAGAAAGTAAACAAGGGTAAACTTGATTTAGCATGTCCAGATAAAGAAATAGACTTTAGTTTAGAATGACATGTAGCAAGAACAAGCTAGTTGCCACCAATATGAGACTGTCAATCTTTTTTGCCCTCATTTGCCAATAATTACCACCTTTTTCGTTTCTATTTCCATTGACTGTAATCTGCATAACTACTTCTCTTCTGAAGTATTCTATCAATCTAATAAATCAAGGTCTTCAAACATCAAACATAGGTATCCTGAACTAACTCATTGGACTAACAAATGCTCCGTCACACAAGAAAAGGAAACTCCATCTTGATCACAATATTATATTAGACAATCTAACCGAAGTACCCATGTTCATGTTGTACGGACTAAAATGTCATAGAAAAGAAATTAAATATCAACCAACCTCTTCATCCGTATCTCTAAGTATAGCTTAATACTAGTTATTTGCATGATTATCCTCATCAATTGGAAGAGATGTTTTGTTTATTCCTCGAGCAATTTCCATTTTCCATAGAATGGAAGTACTTCATAGAAACAAACTGATTTCATTTTAAACATGGAGAAGACCAAAGGATATTATAAGCATGTTCAATCGTAACATGGGCAAATATGAATTAAAGGAGATTATCAGATCCTACTACCATCTAATGCAGTTAAAGAATGAATTATTATTGGATGAAAGCATTTCAAGATTTTTACGTAGAAGTACATGTAAATTTTCAAATCACAGTGACATGAAAAAAAAAAAAGACAATTTCAGTGAATATGTGCTGAAATCATATAACTAGTGAAAAAAAGCAAAATTAATATATGATTGTTTTTCATTATCAGTAACCTGCTGCTGCTCTATGGTCCCCAACATTACTGCCCGAGTAATTTTACTCATGTTCTTCATTACCAAGAATGAGCAATGGTAAGATTAAGTCACATCTCAATTAATTGCTATTTATTAGCAAAATCAAATTCTACCCAAGAAAAGAAGGATATTACTTTTTAGGATTTGACTCAAATACCCTGAGAAGCCCTCATTCAAAATAAAAATCGAATTCCAATTCGTTCTTCGATGTTTCTGAATTGAAAAATTCACATAAAATTACAGGCTATGAATAATATTCCGGGCACTCGATGTCTGATAAATAACTTACCTAGGCCTTATCACGACAACACATTTCTTACCTCATAATCGAGCCTACTTGGAAACACAAAGCCAAACAAGCAAGCCGTTGATCAAAGAACATGGTGCCTATGGTTGACCAAAGCAGAACCGACACTAAAGCTAGATATAGTTGTCTCGATTATGAGGTAATGAATCCAAAAAATTCTATTAAGAGCAGTTTATGATTCACCACAACCGTTAAGGAAATATAACATTCGGAGAGAATGCATCAACCATGGAATGATATCGTCTTCAAGGGGCAAAAAAAGAAAATATTCAGAATGGACAACAATATCTGGATATATTCATTATGTGAGACAAACTTTCAACAGTAGCTATCCAAAAGATAAAGATGAGAGACCGCATAGATCCAAGAAATGAGTCATAGCTGCAGATCATGCGTTCATAACCAAGTAGAATCATTGCAAGAGGACTTGAAGGAAAAGCAGCCAATGACAAGTATAGATTTAGAAAACTGTTCATGAAATATGAAACTACTACAACGATAAACTCAAGAGAGTAGCGAAAACGCATCAGAAAGAGTAGTGAAAAAGAACTACCCTATGATAGAACACAGATCCGAATGTTTCTGCTAAGATCCACTTCTTTCTGCACCTGCTGGAGGTAAAATGAAAGGATCAGCTTGAAAATCTCTAGATCCATCTTACCATGGAGCAACAACAACTTCTGTAAAGCTACATCTGCAGATCTTATAAATCTCAAAGAACAAGATACGAAAAGATGGATTCGTATGAGCAACGGTTAAGCATGATGAGAGAGAGAGGGCTGAAAGAATATAGCATCAGTCAAAGAGTGGTTTCCGATGAACAGATCCGTCCCCCAACGAGAGGGATGCATCTCAAAAGTCATGCTTCCTCGCCGCTCATTCGTCACACAGATTTCCCATCTCGATTCAATGTACAGATAGCCCACAGACGAAGCATGCCGAAATGAGAAGCAAAGAAAAGCAGAAACGAGGTAGATTGAGAATGGAAAGAAAGTACCATAAACATGCCCTAATAGTTCATGTACCGAGTACTTCCCCTTCACCTTGGAAATCCGTCCTTTCGCCATGGTTATCCGGGCCAGATGAGACACCTGATAGTAGACAGATGTAGACAAGTCCAGGAACAGAAACAGAGAAAAATATAAACAGATCATCCAGTAAATAAGATAAAACAACAGGATCTCAGTTTCCAGAGAAAAAAGAAATGAACTCCACTCACTCGTGGCATCTCTCCAGAGAGAGACCAGAAGTCCACCGCCCACCAACCTCTCTCCTCTCTAATCGACACTTGTTTTCAACCTACTTTAGAGCATGCTACAAGTGTTCGGTGCTGTGCTGTTGTGGGAGAGAAAGAGATAGGGTGAGCTGACAGAAAGAGAAATGAGCACGCAACAGGAACGGCATCAGATCGATGCAATCACCGCTGTGTGCTCACTCTCTTCTGTCAGCCCACATACCGTTCACGCAAAACAAACGCAAAAAGAGAGAGAGATGAGACTTCCTTAACACCAAAAACTCAGCAAATCTGATGATTTCAGAGATGAGGGGAGGAGGAGAAAGGAGAGGAGGAGGATCCAGATCCGATCGATCCTCTTCTCTCTTTGCTTCGCCCCCTTGTTCTTCCTCCTCATTATATAGAGCAGCTTCGATCTAGGGTTTCCAGTCTCCACCCTCACCGAACCCCACTTCGTGGGTTCGCACGTGTGCCCTGTAACCACCCCGTCAAGAAGGCTAACGACGAGGCCACTCCTCTCTCTCCCGTAGACGTTCTGTTACATGGAAAGAAGGGAACATGTACGCCTGTCGACCGCTGATTGGCTCGACATCGTTCTTTGTGTACGCCCAACAACAGCAGTACATTTGTGCGCAAGATCAACCGTCGATTCGAGTCCTCGGCGAAAGAATAGGCTTCGCGTCCGCAACTACCGTCCCCACGAGCGTCACTCTCGCGGGCCCCGCGAGGTGCGTCTGTGGTGGCAACGTGGCGGGCACGTGTAACGGGACGCAGCATGAAACCACAGCCGTTTGATTTGACCGGAATCGAATCATGGGCTTGATTGGACCACGAGAGAGCACGAGAGTGACAGGATCAAGACGGTCGTCTTTCTACGTGGTTTTGTTCACCGATTTATTAGTAGTTTAACTCGGCTGCTTAGAAGGACGTGAGATTGCTTTAGATTCGGAGCGAGGAAATGTCACTTTGATGAATGAGCTTTGGATATGTTGAGGTGCTCAAGTCAATGGTCAATGCAAGAAATCCCATTTGGCACTCCCACTAGAATTCTCTATATGGAACATCGAATCCTTCTCACCAAGCACTGTTACAGAATTGGAATCCAACTTTCTTCTGCTTGGATTCATTTCTTACTGCATTTCAAGACCAAAGCATCAACTAGCATGATTTTTTCTGGAGAGAGATGTATATATACTTATAATTATACCATTATAATCTCTAGGAAACTCAATGATCAACCTGTTATCTTTTATTTATTCTTCTTCTTCTTCTTCTTCTTCTTCTTCACTAGTTATAGGAGAGACACCGGAGATGAATGAATTAAGAATCTAAAAGCTGCTGCTATTGGAGGAAAATCACTATGGATGATTAACTTTGAGATGTTCCGACAAATTATATATTTCAGGACATGAACAGTACAGCAAATATTCTTGAAGGATGCTCTACTATCTTTACAATAGTTGAATACTTGTGTTCTTGGTATCTTCCTGAAAGAGACTGGAAAACCCTGTGATAGGCAAATGTCTTCTTATGAATGTCATGATTTAAGATAAAGATCCAAGATATAAATCAAACTCTCGATAGGGAGCATTGACTTTTGGGTATCACAATCCCATTATTTCTTGTAATTGTAACTCTAGAAATCCGAGTTACAGGATTGTGAAACTGATAACTTTCTTAGATATAAGCATAATCTTTCTTTCAACTCTGTGTTCGAAACTTATCCAAAAAGTTCCTAGCAATTCAAGTTCCATATATTAAATTTGAGTAGATTCGAGTCATGAGAAAACTGCTCCAATGGATTTGCATGTCAAAATAGTTGAATTCTCATTGCATAGCACAAAAAATTATTGGAACAACAGTTGGTCGTTGGAGTCCAGAAGAAATTAGGGGAATGCCTATATATTGCACAGACAGCTTCCCGTCTAAAAGGCAGCAAGTGCTGATAACACCTTCTACCTCACTGCAAGAGTACAGTAACATTCGTCCCCAGCCTTCTTCATGGCATGGGCTTAAGACTGAAGCCAAAGTACAAGTGGCTCCTAGTGTTCTTGCTTGGACGGTTCTGGTAAATGCTTTACATGACACATTCATGGGATTCTCTAAGCACTGAAACTTATATTTTATGGTTCATATGCAAAAAGAAAGGAGAGAAAGAAAAGAGTCCTTGATACTGTAACTTTTTATCTTGTAATATATCATGAGAACCCTTAACTCATATACCATCAGTTTGGAATCTATTACTTCACGTTTGTTCATGGCCCAGTTCATGAAATCAACAGAATAACGGCTTGGTCACCATCTCAAAGTCGAACTAATGCTGAGACCACAAATGGAATTCCAAAAGCATCACTTTAGGGTTCTCTGTGGATCACAGGTCTCTAGGGTTTGCTGTGTTTGGCCATATCTTGGGCATCATTATTCCTGCAAGACTGCATCTGGCCTCAGAAAGTTGGAGAAGAGACATGACTGATAGATGCATGTTGTTTTATTCGGTTCATCGCATGCTGAAAAATGCTTTCACTGACAGTGGAAGTATCAGGTAAAGTTTATCTATACAACTTACACTTTTGTGTCTATAAATATGATTTCCAAACTAATATGAACTAAAAGAATGTGTCTCTCCTATAGATTCACCAGAATACTGTTTCATGTCAGTGATTCAAGTTTTATATGTCTTCTCCTTAGCAGGCATGCAAGGATTGATCAGAAAGGTGAGGCCATCATGTTGCAGTGCTCCACAATGGTCTTCTTTGTGGGTTGGCGGGGGTCAATAATGCGCCTTGGAGCTATGCAGGGAGTTGAGTGGGGTAGGGATCATTTGATTGATGCAAGTTGAGAAAGGATTAAAAGGATTAATTTAAATAAATTAGTTTTTTTTTCTTTTTTTACGAAAGGGTAAGTGATGAAAATAAGATTGGAGCTTAGGACATTGTGATATATCGTCAAAGCATTTCAGTATTTAAATAAGATTCAAGCTTAGGATGATATATCGTCAAAGTAAGCAGTAAGTATTCAACATGTATTCGAAGAAGGTTTTACATCTTCCTAATGGTAGGACTTTCTTAATTAAGATGCTTAATTATTTGGAGCACATAAATACATCCAATTATTATGGGCTTTGATCCACTTAATATACGTATTGCTTTGATCCACATGAAGCAACGTGTATTCAACACAGCAAACGATGGACCTGCTCCTTGTGAGGTCCAAACTCGATGAACGATTACAAGGCCTGCCCGAAGTGATGGAAGGATTCGATTACCCCATGCGCTGTTCACAGAAATGTTGGTCGTATTCCATGGCAAAAGCTAATGCAATTCACAGTAGGGCGAAACGATTGCTTGATGTCCAGCATTAGCTTTCAGCATCAGAACCAGTTCACAGACTGTACTGGCGGATCACATGCAACCCATATGAACTCACCAGAGCAGCCACCACTTGGCTGTTCCATGCAGGAAAAAGAAGGCAGGCCATGGAGATCCATCCAAAGCAAGGAAGGATGCTCTGTTGGTTCGAGGCTCGAGGGGACCGAAAGCTACTCTGAGCCCTGCTGCTGTGACCTGAGGACAGAGGCGGAGCGTGTTATGGCCTCCTGTCGCGGGACATGACTCCCCGGCCTTGGAAGGACGTGAATCGAGCTGGTGATCGACCACTGTGCCGCACCTGTGTGCGCGAGAAGTATCATGCCATTTGGAGTCTAAGCTGAGATGGCTTCAGGGTCAATTATTGGACTGAGCATCCAAAGGAAGATGAGGGGAGGATGAACGGCTTTCAGGTGTGGGTTTCTTTTGAATGCATCTGAAGGGAAATAGACGCTTCACTTTCGTGTGCCATGATGCTTCCTGTCGCAGTGACCTTCTCATCAACTGCATCTCCATATGATCACAACACACTTCCTCTTGATATCAACAGCATACTTCAACGTCGTAAGCCGAGTATGTTGACAGAACAAGGCAGAGGGAAAAAGGAGCTCTTACTCAGCAAGAATGCGATGGTTATCCGCCACGGAATATGAGACACCACACGGTGCGTGCGATAGATACGACACACTAAATGATGCACATGCGGATCGTCGAGCGATGGTGAGGGGAGCGACCACAGAGATACCTCTGTCTTCTCCATTTTAGCACGCAACTGCGACCTGCAAAGCGATGTGAGGAACAGAAGAACAATGGAGAAATGCATGGTGTAATTCCCGAACGGTGGGCCAAAACGGAGAATAGACAGAGAGACTATTGTCCAAATTAATATATAATATTAACAGTAATAATAATAATAATAATAATTAGTGGTAGACAAGATGGGCCCACCGATCAAGAGGCCGTGGATCGGGAATCAACGGTGGCGGCGGGGGCCGCCCACTCGATGTCTTTGAGCGCCGGGCGGAGTTGGTCGCAGCAGAAGCTCTGGTATTCGAGGGTATCACCGCCGGCCTTTCTCACCTCCACCATCCGCACCGAAGGCGCCACCGCCAGGATCTCCGCGGCAACAGCCAGTCGCCCCTTCCGCCCGCTCTCCGGCCCCTCCAGCCGTACCGCCGCGGCCCCGCTCCTCGTCACCCGGAAACTTCCCCCGGCCCGCGCCGCCACACCCTCCAGCCGCGCCACGACCCCCTCGGCCGTCTCCCTTGTCGCGAACCGCATCCCGTCGTCCCTGCGCCCCCGCCCATCCTTCTCGAACAGGGGCGACAGGTCGAACCCCTGCGACAGCGAGATCAGGTGGAAGGCGTTCAGTGTCTCCGGCTCGTCCGCCGTCGCTTCCTGTTTCTTCCCCTTCTCACCCGCCTCCTCCGTGGCAGACGTTGGTCGCGGAATCGGCGTCTTCTTGAACCAGGTCATCTCCACCAGCTTCGCCACCGTTATCCGCGTGCTGGGGTTGGGGTCGAGAAGCTTTGTGACGAGCCGGCGGGCATCGGAGGAGAACCACGGCGGGCAGCGGAAGTCCCCGCGGTGGATCTTCCGGTACATGGTGACGAGGTTGTCGTCCTGAAAGGGAAGGTAGCCAGCGAGCAGGACGAAGAGGATGACGCCGCAGGACCAGAGGTCGGCCTTGGCGCCGTCGTAGCCCCTCTTGCCAATGACCTCCGGCGCCACGTACGCCGGCGTGCCACACGCGGTGTGCAGAAGGCCATCTGCGCGGGCGTGGTCGGACAAGGCGCTGAGCCCGAAGTCGGCGACCTTGAGGTCGCCGGCGTCGTCCAGGAGTAGGTTCTCGGGCTTAAGGTCGCGGTGGTACACCCCGCGGCCGTGGCAGAAGTCAACAGCGTAGACCAGCTGGCGGAAGTAGCGGCGGGCTGCGTCCTCGCGAAGGCGGCCGGTACGGGCGATGCGGGCGAATAGCTCGCCACCGCGGACGAGCTCCATGGCGAAGAAGATGCGGGAGCGAGTGGCCATCACCTCGTGGAGCTCTACGATGTTAGGATGACGAACAACCCGCATGACAGCGATCTCCCGCTTCACCTGCTCGGCCATCCCCGCGCGGAGCACCTTCTCCTTAGCCACCACCTTCATGGCGACGCTCGCCCCGGTGCGGAGGTCGCGGGCGGCGTAAACCTTAGCGAAGGTGCCATGCCCGAGCACGCGCCCGAGCTCATAGCGGCCACGCAGCACGCCTTTGCCCTCGGACTCCGGGGGCAGTTCCAGTTCCTCCATGCACACAGCTCACCAAGCGTCTACCTCGATTCCTCACGCAGAAACAGAAGAGAAAAGAAGGGAGCAGGAAGAGGAGAAAGAGGAGGGAAGAAGAAGAACACCTGGCTACCCGTCTTCGACGTGCTTGCGGTGGCAGCTGCGGCCGGCGTGCTGCTTGCGCTTGCAAGCGAGATCAGGGCTTGATCTCCTCGTCATGCTGCGTCATTCCCTGCAGGCGTCAGTCCGGTAGAGAGAGGAGAGAGCTTCACAGGGCGGCTTTCTCCTCCCTGCAAATTTATGTTGTCGAGTCGTAGACTGAGAGGTGAGGGATGGATGGAGACCTGTGTCGGAGATACATATACGTAGAGGAATACCTGTTGCTTTCATTCTTTTAAAGGCGTCGCTGAAGAGGCGACAGGTTGGCGTAGGAATGAATGTTGGCAGTACTTTTTTTATATGATATGATGAATCAATCAATTAAGTTATTTTATTAACATATAAAATAATTTTATATTTTTAATCCTAAGATATTATTATTATTATTATTATCTTTCTATATATATATATATATAATCCTTTACTACAACATAGTTGGAGAAGTACTCAAAAGTCAGTTTATATGATGACTTTAGATGACATCAAATGCTATGGTAGTCTTACGTGTGTGGATAGTGCGATCTGAAACCATAAATTCCCCTTCGCTTTTCGACTTGGAATTCATGCCAAACTCACATGTGGACATCCATAAAGTTCGAGGTTGGGAAGGATATGCCCTCCGAAATGTACTTTCACTGGCTGTTCTTTTGCCCATTACATCATAGATAGTCTTTGCCGATCGATCACCAGACTTCTTCTTCTTCCCATCCTACCAAATGGATCAGATAAATTGGACCGAACTCAACTCGGACGTTCCTTGATTCCCTTGTCGTAACAAAGATGAAAAAGGATATGATGTTGCTATTGCAATTAACCATATCACAAAAATGAAATCCACGAAAAATGACATCAATATATGCATCTCAAGCCAAATAAGACTATTTATAATATATATATACATACATATACATAGGATGATTAACTTGTTAATTTTGTTATGTATACAAAATAATCTACCGAAGCTTAAATTAATGATATTAGGATTATCAAATCTCAATAGACCAACTCAACTCAGATGATTACTTATTTCTCATATGAAATTACACTTGGGGTATTACAATTTAATTTATTTAAAAGCTTAACATCCTTACCAATGAAGAAATATAATTAGAATAAAATTTTATCATAGTGCATACGAGGCCTAACTTAGTGATAGCTCATCTTCTTGATATAATAACTCATTAATTTTTTTAAATCGAGCTTTTCAATCAATACCAAATCAATTTTAATATTATTTATCATCATATTCTTGATATAATAACTCATTAATTTTTTTAAATCCAAATCAATGATCTAAAATATTAAACTTTCAAGTTATCGATAATGGATCACCGACTCACATATATGGAATATATAAGCCTAAGATGGTTATATAAGATTGATGGTGGAGTCACACCCATCTCAATTACTCTCCAAAAGATGCAATTGACATGGCAAACCTAACCATTCGCTTTTGAAGTCATTAATTCCATTCTTGATTACGGCAGTGCATTCAATGAAATGGCCATCAAGTTTGGCAGATGGCTACGTCCTCATCACTTGGAGGAGCACTGTTGGGAGATGTGTGGGTGAACGGACATCAGAATCGATTCCCTTTGTCGTTCCGATCGAAGAGTACACGTTCCGATGGGTGGGTTGGACAATGCGTCGAGGCCGTCAACTCAGCCACCCATCAAATCATTGTCTGCACTCCACTTCGCATGGTCTTGTGGGCTCTCCCAAACGTCTCATCACCTCACATGAACCCTCTTTCCAATATGAGTTCGATATAGTTGGAGACAACATAATTGATGGGTTATTATAGACAAAATAGTTTCAAGATTAGTTTAGGTGTGAGTCCTCAATCAGGGAGTTGGTGAAGTGACCCGTGATGGTGACATGGTATCATGCGATGGGACCCACTAAAGTTTGCATTGAATCAAGCCTCGTATAAGGTTTTGACTAATTAAGCTCCACAAGTATTTTCTTTAGAGTAGATTCAAATAATTTATTTGGATATATATATATATATATATCTTACGATTTTGATGGGGAGAGGCATAGAAGAAAAATAATTCAAATACTTTTTTTCTCTCATGTATTTAAAGAAATAAGGGATTTCGAGCTTAAGTTAATTTAAGATTATTTTTATGTAATTAAATATTTAAAATGTTTTCTATGGTATTATAAATCAAAATGTCGAACTAAATAAATCTTATATCGGTTCTTCTTCTAATTTATATTTGATTATTTATTTTTAGACATTTTTGTCTAGGCTTGACTCTACACTCAAAAGAAATAAAATGTCCATTTTGTGAGCTATGGTTTTATCTATATGAGATAACGTGTGTTTCCTACTTAGGAACTTGCTCGGGTTCAACTTCTCGATTGAGCTCCTCCACATCGACATCTCTACTTAGGCGTCATAAATAGTGGTTTCAATTAGTGATGAAAAATTATAGAGTGAGAATTCGTCCACCCATGATTGATGAGGTCCTAAAGGCAAACATGAGGTCCGTCCACCATGTCAAGCATTCATGATTTGTTTACGTGACACCCACACCAATTTGGTATGGCTTGAGCAAATCATGGACTCGGATGTTCCACTCATGTCACCTATGCTGTTAGGTTCATTTTATGAATTGTTGATATTATCCATCAAATAATTGATGAATTGTTAGGTTCATTAATCTTATAATGATTGTGTAACGCCTTGCTCATATTCCAATCGATATATTATAAAACATTGCGATGGACAATAAATACACTTAAAAAAAGAAAATTTAGAACATTTGACCATGTGATCAATAATTAAATCAACAAGTTATTATCCATCGATTGACTGTTAATATGATCTATATCGAATTGTATTAATGTATCGACACAGTACGATATGGTATATTAATAAATCGATACGCCTCGTTTATATTGATTCCTTATCAAATCGATATATACTGTCTATATCGAACGATATATCACGATATAATGAACTTTCCTACATATTTGTACTATTATCATAATAACGACCGAAGACAAAATTTATTTGAACTTGTGGTCCCCCAAACATTATGCTTAGATATGATTTTGATTTAGAAGTCATATTTGTATTATAGATGTACTCAAAGTCTTGAGTCTAATCGCTTTAATCCTCAATCCTCTATAAATAAAGGATTCATATAATGTTCTAGACATATAATCAAGAGGAGAAATAAGGTAGAGCCAAAAAGGAAAAGTGATTTCATAATATGAGTTTTTAGTTTTGAAATGTCTCTACTCTCTTATATATATTTTAATAAAGATAAATCATTTGTTGTTGTGATAATATATAATATATTTTATATATGATAAATGAAAAGCGATATATGATAAACGAACCCACTATTGTTATGCTTATGAAAGAAAAATCAAATTGAAGCTATAGAATGAATTAAACAGCATCATGGATCACAAGTGATCTATGATATCAAGGAAAGACATGGAAGAACAGGTGGCAATGAATCCAAACCTAAACAATGAAGCTCCTTGAATGAGAAACCTAAACTGGCATCATACTCGATAACGCTATCAGGATCAAACGAACTGATTTCTGATAGGAAAGTAAATTTAGTGGATATCAATCACACTAGCAAATACATTTCAGAATCTGACAACTGATGTATCCCTGATCAGCCGACTCATTCCTGCTCTTCTACTTTTGGCATCTGAGAAAGAAGAAGAAGAAGAAGAAGAAGAAGAAGCAGAACAACAAGCAGCAGGTGATGCATCCTCAGGTCCTACCATGCCATCAGTCTATCATCTGCCTTCACTGTCAGTGCCTTATCCGGTTGATTTGAGAGTGACCAGAACTGCATTATTGAGGCTTACTGAGCACATTTGAGACAGTCGTAGAAGGCATCGCGTCGAGCATCTTTCTTCTTAGGACGAACTTAGGGTTCAGATCTCCGATCCGAACTCTCATCATCGTCACAGATGATATATATTATCGCAACATGACATGATATTCTAAAAAAAAAGTCCAATGTTAATTAGGTTCATAATAAATATCATTACTGAAGCTTCAACCTTTTGGAGCTAATGATATGACCTCTCTCTCTCTTTTTCTGCAAAGAAGAACATGATTGTCGTTGTTGGATCATTTTGCTGGAAGGAGCTGTTGCTGCCGAAGAAAATTGAGTGCAGAAGCAACCAAAGCTGAAGGAAACAATACCTAAACTCAAAGCCACTAATGATATCGCTCAGGCAAACCTTTAACAATCATATATTGGTTAGGGTTTGAATCCTACGTTTCACGCGACAATGACAATCAGCACTGCACCTTTTTGTTTGAAATGATTGCTGTAATGTCATATTATTATCACAGAGAGAGAGAGAGTATAGTCTCAAATTTCATGGAATAAATACTACACGCAACAAAGCCTTTGCTTTCGATGAGAAGGACGTGCCATAGAGGTAGCTTCTTCTCGGATGAGAAGCCACAACCAAAAGAGGTACTGTTGTTGAATCAAAGAACTAAAACTCTCTAATCGCAGAACTTAATGGCTGCCAAATCTGAGACTGGCAACATCTTCTGTGTCTCTGAGGTTGATCTAAGCACCATCATCATCTTTAAGGTCTAGAGATGATCCATTTACACAATCTAACTCCAATACTGCTCATTTTACTGAAAGATTATACACTAATCAAATAGCCAATAACTGAAGCAACCAAGGAACAACTACATCACTTCTTCTGTTGGTGATTGCTATAGATCTTCTTTTAGGGACTCATTTCAGCTGCAACATGTAGTTCTGTCAAGTCATCTGAGTACACTGTACAGACAAAGTGTACTCCTGAGAGACAAAGAAACATCTGTTTGCTAAAGCTTCTGTCTTCCTCAATGAGTGTCAAAACATTTGTCAGTTCTGTAATGATACTTAATCAAATGACAATGAGAAACAGAAACAGAAGCAACATAGTCCTCAAGGACAATTATTCATCATATTCTGTGACACCAACCCCAATCAGGCATCAACATGAACAGATCTATGGCCATCACCCTATGGATGACTTGAGGTTTACAGAGATCCTATTTATGAGCTGTTAAATTTTTTTGAAAAAGTATATTTTGTAAGGGAAAAGTGATTCCTAAAAAGAGATTTGTTTTATATGCAATCTTTCTTTTTATTTGGCCAAATACCCTTTTAATTACAAGTAATTCTTTTATTTTGCCTTCCTCTCTGTTCCTTTTCTTCAAACTCTTCATTACATACTCCAAAAATTGAGGTAAATATGCTAAAGTTTGCGGTCAATCCGATGCACATATGATTGAATAGAGAATGAAAAGTAATTACACTGTAAAATCAGTAGATGTTTATTTCCAACATAGTTAAACAGCAACACGAAAATTAAGAGATAAGTTGTCATCTTGCATAGAGTTTAGGGAATATTTGTAAGGAAATGTTTAAAGAAGAAAATGAAATAAAATTTCTTCTCTTGTATAAAATTTCCTTTTCAATCTTAATGATACAAAAATAGGCTCATCCCTTATTGTTGGAACTTCCAAGATGACAAATCTCTCTCTCTCTCTCTAGTTGCGTTTAAGGACTGCTTTCTCTAGTTGTTCCTGAATTATTGTGGCTCACATGGTCAACCAGATGGAGATCGGACGACATGAATTCTGTCCAATAAATCTGGAGAAAAGAGGACACTGCACGCAATGCCATTTGTTGTGCCGGCAATGATGAAGGCCTTCGGACATAAGAAACGTTGCAGGAGTCCTTCACAGGGTCACCATAATAATGGAGAACACTGAGGAATATGCCTAGGTTGAAGATGCTCAGAGAAGATGTGTTCTTGGCGACATGGAGCATATAATGGATACATCTCTCTACGAAGAAGACGAGGAGTTTAGTCGCAGTTCAGTGATCGATATCTCATTCATGAGAGGGGCGTCAATGGAAGCCTCCTAACAACAGCATAGGTTCCTGCACGGCACACTGCATTTGCCTTCCCTAATGCCTACATAAGCTTCGATCATCGTGATCATGACGTCAAAACGAATCTTAGCACTGTGTGTATGATACATAAACGACGACGCACTCCTCTAATCATGCTGAGGGAATGGGCCCCACACGGCGCCCCCCTTTCTCGACGCGAGGCGGCCTCGCGTTGGCTGCCCGACTGCGCCCCCTCCAATAGATAGGGCATATCATCTTGTCTCTCTCTAACATGTTATGTTTCCCGCACGCGCTCTCCTTCTTCCCCGAAACTCTCCGCCCAAAACCGGAGGCCTTCGATTCGATTCATCTCCCGATTCCGCTCTTTGATCGCTGTCTCCCGCCCACCGTTCGCCGCCCCAGTCATTCAAAGCCTTCCCACGACTTCATTCTCCGCCATACTCCCTTAAAAAGTCCCACCTTTCTACCAACTGAGAAAGCAGAGCAGTCGACGGCCGTGAATTCGTACCACTCATAAAAAAGGCAGGGTGAAGAAAGTGCCAAAATATCTCCTTTTTCCAAGACGCGGATGCCAGGTTCATTCCTCTGGAATGTCGACAGAGGAGAGAGCAGAGGCTGGGTAACGTTCCCTCCTTTGCGACAGATTCTTGTAGTCCAAAACTTGGAAAACAGAGGAGGAGAACAGGGGAGGTGTAGCGAAGTCTCTGTTTTTGTTCCATGGTGATGCAAAGTTCGTGTCTTTAGTCGAGAACAGAAAAGGAGGGGGAGGGGAGGAGATGAGAAGTGGAATGGCGAAGAAGGCGGAGGATGCGTGCAGAGAGGCGCGGAGCCTGGTGTTGGGCAAGTACGAGATGGGGCGGGTCCTGGGGAAGGGCACCTTCGCCAAGGTGTACCACGGCCGCGACTTCCGGACCGGCGAGAGCGTCGCCATTAAGGTCATAAACAAGGACCAGATCCGAGTGGAGGCCGGGTTGATGGAGCAGATCAAGCGGGAGATTTCGGTGCTGCGCCTCGTCCGCCACCCTAACGTGGTGGAGCTCCGGGAGGTGATGGCCACCAAGACCCGCATCTTCGTCGTCATGGAGTACGTCCGCGGCGGCGAGCTGTTTGCGCGCGTCGTTCGGGGGCCACTCCCCGATGACCAGGCCCGCCGCTACTTCCGCCAGCTCATCTCCGCCGTCGGCTTCTGCCACAGCCGAGGCGTCTCCCATCGCGACCTCAAGCCCGAGAATGTCCTCCTCGACCACAATGGTGACCTCAAGGTCTCCGACTTCGGCTTCTCTGCGCTCCCGGAGCAGCTCCGCCACGACGGGCTTCTCCACACCCAGTGCGGTACTCCCGCCTACGTGGCGCCAGAGGTCCTCCGTCGCCAGGGATATGACGGCGCCAAGGCCGACATCTGGTCATGCGGGGTCATCCTGTACGTCCTCCTCGCCGGCTTCCTGCCCTTCCGAGACGACAACTTGATGCGGATGTACCGCAGAGTGCTCAAGGCCGAGTACCAGATCCCGCCCTGGTTCTCTGGCGACGCTCGCCGCCTCGTGTCCCGCCTCCTCGTCGCCGACCCGGAGAAGCGCATCTCCATCGATGCCATCATGCATCACCCATGGTTCAACAAGGGCACGTACCGCAAGGATCCCAACCCCGTCCCTCCGCCGCAAGCGGAGGCGGCACCGGCGGAAGTTGAGGAGCAGAAACCGGGGACGCCTAGGTTCTACAACGCGTTCGAGCTCATCTCTTCCTTGTCATCCGGGTTCGACCTGTCGAGCTTGTTCGAGAACCGGCGGCCGGCGGGGACGGTGTTCACGTCGCGGTTGCCCGCAGCGACCATTCTGGAGCGACTGGAGAGGGTGGGACGGGGGTTGGGGTTCGCTGTAGAGAGGACGAAGCCGTTCAAGGTGAAGATGGAGAGGAAGAACGACGGGTGGAAGGGGCGGCTGGGGGTGACGGCAGAGGTGTTTGGGGTGGCGGCCGAGGTGGCAGTGGTGGAGTTCTCGAAGCTTTCAGGAGAAACCTCGGACTACAACAAGTTCTGCGAAGAGGACGTCCGCCCAGGGTTGAAGGACATCGTTTGGGCATGGCAGGGAGACCATGCCGGCGGCGCCACCAACGAAGATGGTGGTGAAGAGAAGCAATGATGCTTGAGGAGTCGCTGCGCCCTGCGCTCCGCTATCTATAATGGTCTAATCGCTACTTGCTGTTGTAATTAACTAAAATAGTATGGTAATATTTGAGGTGGACGAGAGATAATTTGTAGATTGTTTGTGTTTAGTGATGGAGAAATCGACATGGTTGTAAGATCACAACACACCCAAGTTTTGGATTGTTCATAATATTTCAATCTTGTTTTCCTAAAAAGTGCTTTTTAATTCCTTCGATTAACTACCAAACTCGCTTTGCATTCAGCACACGACTCCAATCATACCATCTGAAAAATCAGATACATCACAATTTCTAGTTTTTCTAATTAAGTATTAAAAGATAATTAAATAATAACAAAAATTAGAGTTGTATTAAATCAAATATAAAATATACGTCCGTTTTTTTTTGCTTCGAAGAAAATAATATTCTTGATAAAAAATATTATTATTTTATGATAATATCATGATAAATTTTTATCTATGTAGATATATGAAAAATACTCGAAACTAATCAAAATACTCAAAGATAAAAGTTCTTATCTAATTAAAATCATTATGTGCCTCAAACAAAAGGAGTCAATTATAGAAAAACTATTATAGTAGAATAATTTTTTTTTCCTCTTTACGTATCAAAATGAGTTTATTATCAAAATATCAATTTGTTATTAAAAGTAAATATTAATCAAAGCAGCATAGTATAACAATAAATCAGTCACAAATTGAGACATTAAAATTTTTATGTGGAAAACTCGATACGAAAAAATCACGGGATCGTAGTCCACTTCAAACTTCTATTATCAATAATATGTCTATAGTAAGTCTTTTCCAGAATAACCAGAAGATCACAATAACTTCAAGAACACAAATCTTGGCTCAACATTAATATATCATCATCACCGAAGATGGATTTAATGAAAAGAAAATTTTAAATCTCACAAAGTAGGTATAACAAAAAAGCATGAGAATAAACTGTAGATCAGTACCGTTAAGATTGTAAAACTTATTGAATGAATTATTCACATAAATTTGAGTCAAAACCAATAAAGTTTAACAAAAGCCTCAAAAGCCTTAACATTTTCAATCCTTTTCTTAGCTCCGTCAGTATCGTTTTGTCGCACACATTTCTTCGGTATCCTCACTGTGCATGTCTCTATAGTTTTTTTTTTAATAAATCAGATTTAGACTGAATGCTCGAATCATCTTGTCCAAGCCCACATATGGGCTGGACCCAACACATCCTTATCCCATACAGAGCTTTCAATGTATGATATGAGATGGACCAACCTCGAATTCACGATTTGTAATCGTCGCACTAGAGCAAAACATAGTTTACGCTGCCATGTTAAATCCTTATATATTGGCCTACGGTACCATAGGGAAAGATAACTGGGAACATCTAATATTATTTACCCTAACCTGTTCTTTCATCTTCTTTTCCATTCTCTTCTCCGAAACCTGTCCTCCGCACCTCGATGAACGCCGCTGCCACCACATTCGTATTTTGCCGACGAAGTCGCTTCGCCATGTAAATCCTTTCTTCAGTCTCTCTCAAAACTTTGCATTGCTCGCGACACAATCTTATAGAGTCTTCGTACGTGAATTCGACATTCTTATTTTTCGTCTGCCTATGATAGAAAGAATCGATTAGGACCGAATCATCTTCTTCCTCCATGTTTGATAACCAAAATACGAGATAACAACACCCACCCCCTTTGTTTATTCTTTGCTTTATTTATTGATGTCTTCATGATATAAAACTCAATTTCTAAAATATTCCTGCTTCGTTGGTATCTTCACCCTCTTAATATTGTCGCCCATATGATTAAATATTGACCTTCTGTATATATTATAGATTACAAAATTATAACTACAGAAGACCAAATGAGGCGCTTCAATGTTTGCAGGTTGACAGCGATCCATATGCATGCCATGCAATACGAAAGACCTCGAGTCCTTTTTTATTTGCTTTCACTAATGGGTAAGAATCCACGTGTCTTTAGGCGTTCGTCTTTCATGCATCCGTTTAAGGAAACCACACGGTCAAAGAAAGCGTGGGTCCCATCTGCCGAGTGTACTTGCTATTGGTGGGTTGGCGGAAACCACAGCGAAGTTGACGAAGAGATGACTCGACAACCACCCACCACGCCACGCGGTGGGCGTCGTCATAAAGAAGATAAAACAGCAATGGTCGGGAGCTGCCAAAACATGCCTGCGGTGCGACCCTTTCCGGTTGTAAGCGTCGTTTTGGTCTCATGGAAGAAACTTCATCTGTTCTTTTTCTCTTTCCCTTTATTCTGTCCTGCCGACGGTAGGAAAAGACCGACTCGGTTGCTGAAAAGACAACCATTTCGTAGTAAAGAAGAAGATAGCAGCCAAAATCCAATCTTAATGGATTGCTTAGAAGCAATACTCTCAGCCAAAAGCCAAAATCCTTTTGTAAATAAAGCTACCTGCAAAGAAAACGAAGAAAACGTAGGAGATGGTAACACTTAGCATGTTTACTTCACGTTCTCATGATTGCATCATGCGGAATTATGACAGCATGCATGCAGAAACGCGAGGCAAGATAACATTATATATAATGACTCGAAACGACTGTCGCCAGTAAAGAATCTTTAGCTTCGTCACGACAGTCTGCAATCTTGTCTCGAGCGTGAAATAGTTGCAGGTTTCTAGAAGCATGGCAGCATCGAAGAAGGAAGCTAAAAGAAGACCGGGGAGAAGTGCATGCAAATTACACGCGGTCTTGTGGGTGGGTCGTCGTCACCGTCGTGAGTGGTAAGTGGCGGTGACGCAGGCTCGCTAGCGTCACCACACATGTAGGACTCACGTGCGCCCAATCGGATCTGACGATGCGGTGAGTGGATTAAGCGCGACGGCGTCGGATGTCCATTTAGGATTTGAAGGGTCCTACCTTGACTTGACTTAACCTCAAGACCTAAAACTAGACCTACATGCACTCGTTTCTGTCCTTAGAACCCGATGTGCCTTCTTCTTCTCGTTAAGTTTCTTGGCATCACCACTCAGAACCTTTGCTCAACGGTTAGCGTCGAAATCAATCGTCGATTCATGCCGTTGGTTCGAATTGACTTGAGCTAATTCTCCAAGGTTGTCAGAATTGAATCTTTAGTCTCACTCGACGAATTCCTCGGCCTACAAAATTAGCATTGAGAAAATAGGTGATTACTCTAATGTTGAAATTAAAGTATGAGTTAAATTTTAAAAAAAGAGAAAATTTCCTATACTTATAGAGTGAAAAAAATTTTGGATTAAAAAATATTTTAAATAATATAATAACCACAGGGTAAATATATTCCAGGTACGTGAGTTTGAAAAATCTAATCCGCAGAAGAAACAAATTATCATTATGGGAGGCATAAAGAAAAATATGCTGAGTTGAAAATCTGACCATGGTAAAACACTATAATTCATCATCTCCTATAGATGTATAGGAATTCAAGGATATACAATCTCCCTAAGTAAAACACTATATCATATGTGAATTTAAGTTTCGTGGGTTTTTACACACCAATCTTCGTACGACGATGAAACCTAACCCCATCGTTGCCAATGACTAAGAGCCGTGAAGGTTAAAAAACTAACCCCATCGTTGCCAACCTCCACGCCCAAAGGAGGATCAGGTTCACATTGGCAAGGATTGATCCGTTGTCGAGGAGGACTTGTTGGTGAGGAGCAATCTCTTATCGAGATATAGAGTTTAGGTGCCTCGATCCACCCCTGCGGTTGAGGCATGAAGGTTGGGTGTCTCGACTTCCTCACACCTGTGTAAACGAGAAATAGAGGTTCTCGATGCATGGAGTTAGAGAATCAATCGAAGAGGTATAAGCTTAATGTGTTAGATGAATTATATGTCACACTTCGAATCTCGATATTGTCAATGTTTGCTCCTAAAGCATGCTTTTAAGAGAAGATAAATGATAAGAAGAATATTATTCATAAATCGTCATCCAACATGTGGCCTCCAAGTGGTGTTTAGGTTATTAAAAGAGGACGAAGACCACCCTCCATCTGTTTGCCCATATGGACTAGGGGCTAAGGCAGACGGTTATAGGCTATCCCCCTCTTGTCACTCGCATAGATAAAATGTTAAGTGGAGGTTTTTAAAAGTTATTTCCTTGTAGGATATTTCATAAAATATTTTATCCTTTTATAATCAGGTATAAAAGCTCATCTTCAACACAATAAAAGGAGATTATTTTTTTGATCACTCATATATATACTCACCTACTTGGGAATTATCATTCTATAATAATATCAATCACATCGAACCTAAACTAGGCAACTGAATGATGTAAGAGATGAGAATTCCAAATAAAGTGTGTAAAGTAGGTGCGGTTTCAGATGAAAATAATTTGTGTGTAATAATACTTTGAGATTATTATTACATATATTTGTTAAAAGAAATCGTATCATAATAATTAAATAACTATGATTACAATAAGATTACGGCCCTCCCAATATCTCATGGGTCATTCTATAACCATTTCCAATCCACTTTTCTACCACCCCACATGTTAGGAACGCCACCAATCAGCTAACAAAGCAACAGAGAGTTTATATATATATTTTTTGTTGACTTCAATATCATTTATTATTTAATAAAAAAATATTTATTTCAATCATAACTCGACATATAATTCTCTCCGTTATTAAACATAGGATGAATCACATTTGATTGAGCATTCGATACCCTCTCGATCTTGATCTGAAGATTTGTTACCACTCAAATCGAATCACATCACATAAGTCGAGCTTTTCTTCACATCAGCTGCACTAACACGTGAAATCACAGCTTCTATTTGTATCAACCAACGTGGTTTGAATTCCTTCGTTCCAACGAAGAAGCCCGGTGACATGATTGATGACATCTAGAGATGACGTACATCGTCCTTCTTCCTCGCTTGCTTCCCCTGAAGTTCCTGTGCCGGTCGCTGATACCAAACCAAAGTCTTCTTCCTTGGTTTCCTCGTAGGAATGCCATCATCTTCTTTATAAGAAGAAGACTCCACATCCGATCTCCCAACTTCATTCGGTTTGGCTCCCCATAAGTCCAAATGGGTTCGGACTGGATTCATCAGTCCTCTCCTAGCCTCGACCTCCGCGTCGGCCCTCGTCGGTCTCCCGACCAAGCTCCGGTGAGTTTAAGCTCCGGTAATTTGTTCTTTGTGATTACTGATTTTGTGTACTCTCCTCAAACACAACCGTGATTGTGATGATGCCTTGGAGCACAGGTTGGAGTTCTAGAAGCCATGCTGAATCAGATAAGCGAAGAGAACAGGAGGCTTACCGGGATGGTCAGCGACATGTACAAGAACCATAGTGCGCTCCGCCGACGGTTGTCTTATCTCGCAAGCGTATCTCCATGTGAGAAGGGATCAGCCTCGCCGAAGAGGAAGAGGGTCGACTGCGAGAAGCACGCTGCATCCGATGACGAACATGGGTGCAAAAGATCGAGAGAAGATGCCATGACCAAGACGTCGAAGGTTTATGTGCGAACCGACCCGTCCGATCCGAGCTTGGTGAGTTCGATCGATCTGCGAGCAAAGGACGGCACGGAATTGGTTTCACGAGTGATTAGTGCTACAGGTGGTGATGGACGGGTACCAGTGGAGGAAGTACGGGCAGAAGGTGACCAGGGGCAACCCCTTCCCCAGAGCTTACTTCAGATGCTCCTTTGCTCCTTCATGCCCTGTGAAGAAGAAGGTGTGGAAAGATCACTGTGTTGAGGAAGCATCCACTGCAATCTGATGCACTAATTCCTGATTCTTCAGGTTCAAAGAAGCGCGGAAGACAAATCGCTGCTGGTGGCCACATACGAAGGTGTACACAACCACAAACACCCATCGCCGGATGAAGTCTATACGGTCAAGTGTCCATCGCACATCAACTCTTCTGCCCCGTCGATCGATCCGGTCGTCACGCGACAACCTGACGTCGATAGGGGTTTCGGAGAGATCGAATCGCCCAAGTTTGACAGAGCGCTGGTGGAGCAGATGGTGGCGACGTTGACCAAAGACCCAAACTTCACTGCTGCTGTCGCCGCTGCAATATCCGAGAGATTCCTTCGAGACCCACCAGCTTAACACTGGGCATCGAGTGCGTAACGATCTACAGCTCGCCTGAGGAATTCAAATCTGACGTAGTATTGGGATAAATTTTACAAGGGAAGAAAAGAATTCACATAAATAAAAATATTCAAATCTTGAGAATAATTTATTTTGACTAAGTGAACGGGTAAAGCTGTGACAATTATTAGAGTTTAATACAGATGTAATTATCTTGTAACAGCTTAAGCTATTGTAATTACTGATCACTTAATTCAAAAACTCTATCATTGTATCGAAGGATGTTTATATATTTAAATTTTATATAGTTCTTGCACTAATCCCAATCATTTTGATTAGCGATGTCATGATCTAATCCAATCATGAGACGCATGCTTTTCTCCTAGTTAGTTTATCACCTGTGCTATTGTTCCTTGTCTCCGACCACACTCGCCTCCAACCCCACCACCACCCACGCTTGGAAGTTTGATTCCTGCAGTCACCCATCGACGTACAAAACGACAAGCTTCAAGTGAAATCAAAGAGCAATGCGGGCAGGCTGTAAAACAATGGCAGGAAGGAAAGAAAGCAAACATAAAGCTGATACAGATCCAGGAAAGTAAAGGGTAAAAAAAGCTGATGGAAAGTAAAAGAAGCAGAAAAAGACGGAACTTTGAAGTGGACAGGTCGATGCATTCCCATTCCAGGCATATACGGGCGAGCAACTCCAAAAAGCATCCTTATTCTCTTGTGCTTTTTGCTTGACGTCGTCTTGAAGCATCGTCATTTTGGGTCTCTCTTCCTTCTAGTATTCATCTGTCTCGAGGGACGGAGGCTCAGTCCTTGCAGCGGGAGGGCCGTGAGACATCGGCGTCGCCGCCGCCGTTGGTGGACTGCACTGTCAGCGCGGACATGCTGGGCGATGAGGGCGCATCGCCAGCTGCATGCGGGGACGGGGCTGTGCGGCGGATGAGCTGGCTGAGACCGCCAGGAATGGGAGGCCGGGGATGGCAGGTGGCGGACGAGATCGCCGAGGCGAGGGAGATAGGCATGAGGCAAAGGCCCTTCCCTTGGAGGTACTGCATCGCCGACCCCATGTCCTCCTCCAACAGCTTCGTCACCTGGTTCTCCGCCGCCGTCAGGCCGTCGTCCGCCGCTGCTCCGTCAGCTCCTCCTCGTCCCGCCCCGGCCTGCCACCACGTACAGTCCTCAGGTCTATCTCATCATGACAATGATCGACTGCAACAATGGCTTTTTGCACGGATACAAGTCGAATACCTCCGATGACATATCAGCCACGAGCGGCGCAACCGCCGCTGCGCCGCCCAACCTGCTCATGCTCAGCACCTGCGTCTTACGGATGCATGCGGAGAATTAATATCAGCAGGAACGAAGTTCTACGTGCCATCACATTAACATACGCTGCCAAGTAATCAACGTAGCATATACTACTAGTATGACAAAGAGACCATGCATGCAGCAGTGGTCCCATGAATCACACGTCGGACCATGTGAAGCCATTAATGAAGCATCAGCCAATGGGAGTTCTTCGAGACCCACGTGTCGACCAGTCGGCCTCCTGATGCTTCTCACCATGTATTAAACGCAGGACTCGACTGTATCGAATCGTAGCAGGAGAAAGAGAGAGAGAGAGAGAGAGAGAGAGAGAGAGAGAGAGAGAGAGAGAGAGAGAGAGGCATTGCCTTCACTTGGAGCTGCAGGAACTTGACGTAGTCGATGATCTCGTCCAGCATCGACGCCTTGTCCGTCTGCGGTTGCAGTCAACACAGTGTTCAATACACAGCAAGCGAAGAAGTCATTTTGCTTCACAGTTATTGTCCACTACCACTTCACAACACCAAAAACAATGCAAATGCAGTACTATAAAGTTCCACTGGGTAGAAAAGGCTATAAAACACTGCAAAAACATGGATATTCCATAGATATTCCTCCGATTCTATTACTTATCATGGCGATCCAACCTGAATGGGTTATAAAGCAGGTCCTGATGTCTGTATAATCTTCATGATGTGTGTATATATCATATATACAAGCTGTATCTTCTAATCTTCCGACGTTTCACGTTCAAAGCGCATGAAGTGCTTTGGCAGATCGTAGTTGACATTGTTAGTTCGTTAAATCACTCTTATCATGTTTCATTTATGTGGTCAAAGTTAGGTAAGTTGAACGAAATGATTGTAGTAAAGAAGGGAAGGAGAATAATGAAGGGGAAGGTGAGGAAGGAGAGGACCTTATTAGCGTTGGGCACCAACTCCTGCAGCGCTTTCATCCTCTCCGCGATCCTCTCCCTCCGAAGCTGTGTACGGATACGAACAAGAAAACAAACAGAGCATTAAAGATCAAAGTTTAGAACAGATAATCGAAGACGACTCCAAAGTTTGGAACGGAGTATTAAAGACGATTCCATTAGGGAACATAAGAAAGAAAATTCGATGAAAGGTTCGATTTTTTTCAACTTATTTGCAAGTAAATGAATGCCTCACTCTTTCGGCAATGCTATGTGGATCCGTCGCCTGCCCTCGCCTCGCCCTCACCCTGGGCCTGGGAGGTACCGCGCCCCCGCCGGTGGATGGCGAACCCGACGCTGCCGGCGGAGCTCCTCGGTGGTTCTGACACGTTTAGAGACTCGGTTAGTGCCGAAACGTTTGTACGAAAAAGAAAAAGGTATCCGTTTTTGTCCCCTCTGTTTAGGTTTACAGGAGATGGAAATGAGGGTTTTGGAACCTGGGGATGAGGGAAATGATGGTGGTGGTTCGGCGCCTGAGCCGCTCGCTGCAGCGATTCCCCCAATCCGTTGTAGAGCGCCTCCGCTTCCTTCGATGAATAAAATGGCGAATTTTCAGCAGAAAAGGAGGGGTTTTTCTCCCTCTTTATCGTAATTAATCGGAATAATAGACAAGAATCAGAACGAGTGAACCGGAAAGCGTACCGTGGAATCAGAGGATTTGAAGGGCGCATCGACTTCCTCTCGAGATCTGTCGAAGAGAAGGCCGGAATCCCGCGACCCGCCGCTCCCGAGGGAGAGCGGCAGCGGAAGGAAACCCCCCGAGTCACCGCCGCCTCCCGCCGGCGGCAGCCCCATCGACTGAAGGAGCAATTGCTGCTGGGGAGACGCGTGATGAGAGTAATGGTGGTGGTTGAGCTGGAGCAGCATCGACTTCCCCGTCGGCGGCGGGCTCCCTCCACCGGCGGCCTGGTGCTGCCGGAGCCTCGACGTGAGAAGCGACGCATCATCGTACCCTCCGAGCCCCATCTGCCAGGCGGGGGCGAGACCGGACATCATCTGATCGAGGAAGTCGTCGTGGTCGGCGCCTCCACCGTTCTGGAGCTCCTGAAGCGCAATGTGAGCAGCGACGGCGGAAGCGGGGAGTCCGCCCACCATCGCTTGCATCTCCTTGCTGCTCGGCTGCATCGCCAACCCCAGGCGTGCGCTTAGGGTTTCCTCCCCTCACCTCACCTCCCCTCTGCGGTATCGTCTCTTTGCGTGAAGCAGCGGAAGGCGGCCACTTTGTCGTGCGTCGCACTTATAAACTCGCGGTCGAGTTAAACCCCAACTAAAACAACAATTAGAAGCCCCATAATAAACAGTTCGGATTAGGTGTTCTTAAACGCGATCGCAGCGATTAGCTCTCATTTTGGTCTCTTAATCTGTTGCCGCATCCATCGCAGGGAACGATACTAATCGAACACCAACATCCAACTGTACGATCTCACTACGATCCACATTGGTCTGCAGGATCCAACACAGGAGGATGTTGGATGTGTAATCGATAGGATCACAAGCAAGGATTGTACCGGCTGTAGAGTTGGTGTCTACAGATGTAGAGCGTCATCTTGTTGGTTTATTTCCACCTAGTATTTTTTATCTTTTAAAAGATCAAATTATCTTTAACTTTTTCTTATTTAATATCACGATCATCATCATCATCGTCTTTGTTATTTGTAGCCTCGCCTTCCCTTCCTTCTTGATATAATGATCACCATGGCCCTCACCTCCCCTCTCTTATTTATCCGCAACTACCAATTCGATGATGCCAAAATCCGATGATGGGAAGAATACACGAAGTTGTGGACAGTGAGACAAAGGTGATAGTCGATGAGGCAAAAGCCAGTGAAAATGTTATTTTAGAAATAAACCAAAAAGAGGATGCTATGTGAAAAAATAAAAAAAAATAGGTGTTTTTTTATAAAAAAATTGCTCAAATGCACATCTAAATATATTTTGTTTATGATATGATACTATGATTTTTTATTGTCTTTAAGCTAATGTGATGGACTGTTAAACAAATGCAGCCATATTGTAAGCTGTAACAGAAATGGGCAATCTAATAAGCTAATACAACTTGCTCTTGAAACCCACTGACAAAGTATAGTGGAAGGTAGAGGGGGTTTGAATTCCACAAAGGAGGAGGGGAATTATGTTATTGCAAGAACATTACAGTGTGCAACTTGGGCAGATGGTGGTGTTCTCCACCAACAAAGTGGAGTGTTCTCCAAGAATTAATTACTTGAGCTCCATAACATTTTTATCAGATGAGGAGAAGAGAAAATTATTGTGAGCTGAAGTCGAAAAAGAGATGTAATCAAATACCATGGTGGGGATGTATAAAATTGCTAGTCAAAAGGAAGAGGGATCAAAGATATGGCCACACAAAAGTCAAAATGCATAAAGAATCGAAAAGGACGACATGCTACAAAAGTGGTGTTTGATCTCATTGTGTATTGTTGCATCGAAGTGATTCCATGATTAATTTGTGCCGCTTCATGCGATGTCGTGTTCTCTGATTAATTTGTGGAGCTTATTCGCCATGCTCGCAAGCTTGGATAGGTTTTGTAGTGCTTCGCCAAAAGAGGAAAGCTCATGGCTTGGAAAAAGTTAAAAGAGGCATTAGGGTGTATAATAATACATTGGACGATCAACTAACTCGATGCTGCAACGAGATTTAGTGAGACAAACAAGGCTTAGAAGGCAAAGAAGGCCAAGATTTCTTAGATCAAAAGTATTCTAAAGAGAAGCTTTCGGAAGGACGTCCAGCCATTCTTGGCTTTTATCGATCATGTATCTATCACCTTCTTTCTTTCTTTTATTTCGCTGCCTGACAACCATGTTTTTACAACACACCCACTCAATCCTATCAAGAAAAAGAAAAAGAAGATCTTCTTTAGGCAATCTACGAGCATCAAATTCAATCGATTGCACCCAAAAGCCTGGGGTTGTAGGGCACTCACTCTCTCTCTCTCTCTCTCTCTCTCCCTCCCTCCCCGGAAAAGAAACCAGATCCCCACAGGTTCCATAGGATACGTTGATCTTATTAGGAACTTTTGTCAAGTGGGAGAAAAGTAAGGTGTGATGAGAGAGACAATAGATCATGTGATCGAGGGCCATATTGATGCAGTGAGATGAGATGGAGTTGAAAACATACATGAATGCATGTGTGTTTCCAGTACTAACAAAGTTGTGCCATACACAGCATTAGCAGACTAAAATAAGCACCATCATATTCCAACAAGACAGCAAGCTCGTCATCAACATTTAACCATCCCCCATCCTCCCATCCCTCAGGTTGCATAGCCAAAGAAATCTTATCATTAACGACGGCGATAGCTTTGTACCAAATAGTGAAAGGTTGAGAATGATAATTGCGTAGAAAAACACTCGGAATGATGCTACCAAAACATCTACAGAGAATTAGCAACACAACATCTGAGGAAAAAAAAACACCAGCTTTATCCAGACTTCTTCATTTCTTAATACAAGCCCCATAACCAATCATAAAATAGAAGAAAAAATCACCTTAAAAACATTCTGGAGTTGAGACAAATCAATTGTGAAAGAAAACATGCTGAGTCAAAAGAAAAATAATAATAAAGAGTACATTTTATGAACGAGTTTTCACTAACACATACTCACTTGATTATCGTATGTGGCCTTACAAAAGCCATATCCGTTCCTCACTTGGTAGAAGACTTGCACAAAATTAACGAGACCAACATTGTAAACACTGGGAGAGAGGTTTAACATCAATCCTATTAAGCAAGCGTACGTGCTTCACTGCAAGAAATAAAGGAATCAGTCAGTCAGCAAACTGTGCAGCTTTAATTCCCAGCATAGATTGCCACCATGGCATCTCATGAACAAGGATGCAGCTTTAATCCTTTATCACCATGATCACAAAGACGATCTTATAATGCACATGCTGTCAATTTGTTGGCACAAGTAATCCACAAGATTACGAGAAGCTGAAACAAAATTCAGGTTAAAATTAAAAACATCTACTCGGTTAAATCTCTCATCCCATCTAATATGGAACAGCAACATACACAAGCACTAGAGAGACCACAAAATAACTGCCACTAGCAACTAATGATGCTGTCTACGGTATTACAGTGGCCTTGTCAAAACTTTCAAGAGTTAATTGCATGTGGACTATACAAAAATAGCAACGGTGCTATCTACCTTACAATCTGCAAAGTAAAGCTACATAAGGGCTTGCGTTTACCCCTCTTTTATCATGGGAATCAAAGTACGGCCAAACATATTATAAGCCTTACATGAGTTCCTACACCCAGCTCATGACTTCATCACCAGTCTCGTGGCTTCTTGATAGGCAAATGATACAATACAATCATCTCGGGACTGATCCACCAATGCGACAGTAGTGCGAAAATGGAAGTGGATTTGAATTTACCCGAGGAACAAGTGAACATCAACTATTAATCATATAGAAACTCAAGTTTGGCCCTTTCTCTTGCGCTTCTTCCCAGCCAAAGCCTCACTCTCTTGTACCTTTGGTGTTGTATCTGAGCGCACCTTAACCAATGTCTCGGATTCTCGAACCTTAGCTTTCCCCTTCTCGGAACCAACATTGGACTTCGATTCACTACCAGTTTTCGGAGTGGTAATGCCTCTTGATTTAAGGCCTGTCTTTGTGCTGTCTGCACTTGATTTACCTTTTGGTGCATCCTTTTTGACCTTGCTGCTAGCACTGAGACCACTATCAGTTGACCTGCCTGTGGACTTGGGAGTGCCATCCATGGATTTTCTGATTGACTTGTGGGCATTATCCTTGGACCCACCTCTGGTTTTAGAGGTAGCTTTATCCTTGAAAATACCACCCTTGCTCTTCTTATCATCGTCCTTGATCTTAGTGCCAGATCTAAAACTACCATCTTTGGGTTTGCTTGTTGCCTTCTCTTTTAGTTTACTTGAAGTGCTGGGGTTATCGTCAAGGTTTGAAACAGCAGCTTTAGGTGGCCTACCTCTACGGTGACTGCTGGATGGTGAGCCATTGACAGCCAATCAAAATCATTAAGATCTTGTATTAAAAATCATATAAGAATTAGATAAGCCCAATTACTATCATTAACCTTTTTGCAGGTGTCTCGATAATTCTTTCCTTTTGGATGGAACTTGAACTTGTCTTTGTTCTCTTGCTTCTCGGCCTGGTTCACATGGCAATACTGAACATCAAACACCAAAAAATAGGCATAGATATAACAATATTTGGTCAGTATTCACAGAATCATGTTCCCATTCAACATTTCAAATTCTTTTACAGTTCTCTAAAAATAATGCCCAATTTCTGAAAAGCTTATGCTATTAGCAAGCAATACAAATCAAACTAGGAGATGATCAAATTTCATGAAACTTCAGGAATAGCTGATTAGCTAAAATGTTGCACAAATAGATTGAGAAAATTCCGAGTAAAGGTGCTATTAAAGATAAAGAAAGACTACAAAAGACCAGTAGAAAAACTGAAGAAGGAATATAATCACCCTCGGTTCATCATAGTATAGTCTATGATAGAGACAAATGGTGTAAAGGATACATGAAATCAGCCTCAGAAAGTCAGGAAAAATGCTGATTACTTTTGAACCCTAAATGATGAGATAATGACAGAAATAAGAGTACCCTCTTCATCGCTACTGTTAGTACTAAACCTTCGGGACTGACCATTGTGTTGTTTGAGTATGCTCAATAGGTTTCTGAACACAATTATTCAGAATGCATAAAACAATATGATTACTAAAAACAAGCATCCAGTGAGGGAACGCATGTAGAGGAACTGATAACACAGTAATAAGAGACTAGACCTAGCATATTTCCCTGATAGAAATCATGACTACAAATGAACATGAATAATAAACAATTTCAGCTTGATTAATGTGGTGGAATTAAGTTTCATAAGAACAAATCAAAAAAGATGAAAATGAAAGATCCATACTTGCAGAAATGTGGAGAAGTATTAGTTACACGAAAGCTTCCACTAAAAGTAATACTTACTCTTCTGAAGAAGCATCAGGATCAATCAAGACTTTTGCTTGTTCCTGCAGATCAAATCGGCAAAGTTAGCATGAAAACACAACATACAAAGAGAGATTTGGAAATTCTGACCAACCGCGTGTATCT